GGATGGATGGATGGATGGATGGATGGATGGATGGATGGATGGATGGATGGATGGATGGATGGATGGATGGATGGATACAATTCCACCCCACCTCCAAACAAAGCGAGCCCATGTTTGACGGTGATTTTCAGCACACCAGCGTGCTACACCGTACTAACACACGTATGACATTATTGTTTAATAAAGCCATGAGCACATCAGCTGTGATAATCCCACATTACTCTCTCTTCGGTCATCTAAACCCGGTGTGGGCATCAAGTTCAGTGAGTCCTTAAGATTGACCAAACAAAGGGAAATATTTCCGTGCCGAACATGAACGCATGGTTCTTGAAATTCGATGGTGCATGATGTGCTCACTAAAACTGCAAAGAGAATAAATTTGATATGTTGTTGAGCAGCTCTACCTGTTGGGTCTTTGAACACAGCTTTGGCGTCGGTGTTGGTGTGGACGATGCTCTTCAGGAGTACGGCCATGTTGGGCACTTTGTTTCTCGGCAGCTGTTTCAGTGCAGCCTGACGGGAGAAAGAACCAAAAGAATAAAAATAATATTTCCATTTGTTAAAAAGGAACCAGAGCCTGGTGAGTTGCATCATTCTGCTCCTCAGTCAGGAGGATGTGTCAACATGTTCTCCACAAAACAATTCATGTTGTGTTTGATCAGATTATGGGCCTTTCTTCTCGTCATCTTACATGAACATAGCCAACGTGAGAAAATACACTGTTGCCCATCTTTTGTACTAGCAGGCAAAAGTTTAGGTGAAAAGCACCCGATGGTTCCAGGAAATCGAGGGTAATAAAAGTCAAGTCCCTTTTAGAAGAAGTTTCACTTGTAAAGTTTTTCTGATCCATCAGTCAGAACCGGTTGCATTAGCACCAAACATTTACATATAATTTGTTATGTCATCATACAGCTTCATTTATTTAACTGTACCTGAGAGATGCTTCGTCATTTTGACAAATGGTTTGAAAAGAAGCTCGACTGCTAATTTATTAATGCTTCATCTCCCCCACTAATAAATCTACGAACTGAATATTTAATCTCTCTGGCTTTAAAGGTCGCTCCTTTCACCGTTGGTCCGTTAGAACAAACGCGCAGTTGTGAGGATGCTCTGATGGAAACATCTGGCGGGATTTTTCCGTTCGTGCGAACACAGATGTTGGAAAGCTGTCCGGTTTAACCTGAATGAGCTCGGCTCGTGACTTCGTGCAGCTGGAGAGCGACGTGTGCAGGAACTCTGAATTTAGAGGCTGCCTCCAGAGGTTATAAACACAGAGAGGAGAAAACAACAACAGGGTCTCCATTAGGGTGATTGATTAGCGATCACGCCGTTTATCATCTCCAAACACCTCCGGAGCGGCGGCGTCGTTTGTCCTGATTGTGCTTGAAAGACCTCCAGCAGCCTCACGCAATGAGATGATGGAGGATGAATCGTTTTTTTAAAACTTGTTGACCCAAATATTAGTAACGCAGCTGAAACGGGACTTCCCGCAGGGCGACAGCCTGAGGATCAGGTTTGTGTCGGAGCGTAGGCACGACGGCGATTACGGAGCTCACCCTGCGCAGCACCATGACCACGCTGCAGGTGTGCAAGAAGCACGCCGGATTCCTCTCATCCAGGCCCATCTCTGCCTTCATCGCTGCCCAGGCTCCACCGCTGAACTCTTCTTCCTCCGTCTGTGAGCTGGAACCCTGGAAGATAAAGAGACTGTTGATGTAGAAATAATATTGCCCTTTTAAGCATTTTACTTCAACTCTTTTTGATGTACTAGCTCTACCTGTAAAAACAAAGACTCGATCATTAGAGCTCAAGTTTTATTTTGATACTAATAAAAGGTTTTAGCTCATAAAAGGAGTTAATGCCAGTTAATCAGCAACTGTCAAACTGTATGAAATCTTTATACATTACTAAAAACAAGAGTACACAAGTTGTTGAACAGAGAGGCGTTTGTGCAGCTTCTTCCTGGTGATGCAGGTCAAACTGACCAAAATCATAATTTTGTGTCATTCGAGAGTAAAAACACTGAAAGATTTATCCTGGGATGTTTGGGAGGTCGAGGACTTGAGCATCTCCATCTTCTCAGAAATTATTTACCACGAGGGGATTACTGAGAAACAAAACTAACACGTTAAAGCTGAACTCGGTCCCTGCTGCGTCGACTCTGCAGTTATTGTGCAGGAACCGTTTATCGTTTTAGTTTGATCATTTTGGACAGACGAGCACAGACTGGCTTCAGGAGGCGGTGAAACAAATTCATGACCAAACATGAAGGAAAAACAAAAAGCAGCGCGGTTGTCGTTTCGTTGGCTTGAAGCCAAACTGGTAACAGAAAAATAAAATTTGATTAAGCGAACAGCCCTATTCAGCAAACACAAAGAAGTGAGACCTAACCAAATAAGTGTTTTTCTTTAAAATTAAAAAATAGAAAAACATTTTTCTCCTCTCTAATCTCACTCGATGCTGAAAAAAGTAAAGAAACTTTATCGAGTGTTCTGGGTGGGAGGCCATGAGGCGTGCGGACATGAGCTACCACTGATTCAAGAGGCAAAGAAAAAATATGAATGAAAGATGAAAAACTTCAAATAAAGCAATATCACAAAATGACAGCTAAAAGATTTACATTTCTTAACGGCCATTTTAAAAATTGTTTACAGGAACTCGTTTTAACCGTCTCTAAAATAAACCAATAATTACAATAAAAATAATTTACTATCAAAAATGTGGATGCCGAGTGTCTAAGAAGTTTGCTGAAGAAGTTAAAACCAAGTTGTTAAAGCTACAAAAAAAAAGCTAAAAGTGGCAAAAGTTTAGCTAAAAACAAGAGTGTCCGAACAGCAGATTTCAAAGAGAACATTTTGTAAAGAGCTGAAAAGATCTCAATGTGTTTCGAGAGGAAAAACGTTTGAAAATGAAGGGAAACATTTTGAAAAGTGTCAAAAAGTTTCAAAAAACAAAAGTCACAGCACCCGTCTCCTGAACGAGCTGTAGTTTTGACACTTGGAACAGCAAAGCAGACAAAAGTTGTTAAGACTGGTAAAGAACAGGAAACAATAGTATAAATGGTGATTCACACTATTAACCAACAGAATGAGTGGTGGAACAGCTGACTGGTTAACAACAAAGACAACAGAGTGACGTAAATGTGTTCGTGCGTTCTGTATCTCTGGGTTTTATTTACCTGACTTGGCAGACGAGCCACAGCTCCGTGAGCGGGAGTCTGAGGAACAGAAACTACGATTTCGTCCAGGTTCTGAACCTGAGGCTGACAGAGGAGATGGAAATTTTAAAATGTGGCACTGTGGTGAAAGAATAAACCTAAAACATCTCATATGGCAACAGAAAGCTCTGCCGCATGAGTGCAACCTGCTGCGGCAGGAGTCCCGCAGGGCCGGGGAAGCGTCTCGTCCTGGGCAGGTGAGCCTCAGAGCGAGGTCTCTTCCGAGGCAGCTTATTGGAGGCAGACACCAGCTGAACCAGGCGGTTGGTGAGGACCGGTGTGTGCAGGGGATGAGGGCTCAGAGTGGAGGTGTTCGTCGATGGAGAGGCAGCTGAGGAGACCGTTTCAAAAGGTCTGCGAGCCTGAGCAGAGGCTTGAGGAGTCATCCACTGTTTGTGTGGCTGCTGAGGGCTGTTTAAGGTGCTGGAGAAGCTGCTGAGGGCAGGAGAGGACACAGAAAAGCTGGGAAAACCAGTAGACGTCTGTGGACGTGTGGTCAAAGCAGGACGTGGATTTAAAGATTGTAGATGTGCGACAAAGGGGCTCCGAAGAGCTGTGCTATAACCAGACGTGCTAGAAGTGTTGCATGCAGTTCTGAGCTCCCCGAGGGTCTGATTAGGAACTGACTGACTTCCTCCATAAGCTGAGGGTCGCAGTGTTTTGGCTGAAGATGGAGGCTCAGCTGCTGGTGCAGGTGGAGCAGAAGCAGCATGTTTCTGCAGTTGGCCTATTTGGCTGTCGCACTCATCCAAGTCTGCCAGGTCAACATCCCAATCATCAAAATCATCCAGAGCCACGCAGGAATTCATCAGCCCCTTACTGTTGGCATGGCTCTGTTGTGGTGCCAAGTTTGGCTGAGAGTTACCGAGTGTAGGCAGAGGAGGGGAGGAAGAGGAGAGCCGTCTCAAACCCAACGCAACAGTTTGCGCACTCCCTGAAGCCGTGCCATTACACACGGTTGCCAGTTTCTCCTCGGTTTGCTGATGGCGAATGTTCTCCGGCTCTCTGTGAGCCACAGAGGAAGCCCGCAGAGCGCAGGACGACACAGCAGCTGCCACTTTGGCTGGTCCAGAGCCTGAGCTGGGGGTCCAGTCTGTCCCGAGCAGGTCCTGGGACGAACACACACACACCGAAAGAGAGGGGGTCAGAAACAGAGGCTTCCTGCTACAGGATATCAAATGGGATGCTACATCAGTTAAACATCTGAATCAGGTGTGTCACCTCATCATCAAAATCCTCGCCAATGCTGAACAAGCCACTCAGTTTGCAGGTCTATGGCAGAAATAAAACCTCAAATTAAACGTTTTTACATCAAATGAAGCAGTTTAACAAATACAGATTACCTAATAACTTTCAAAAAGTGTATAATGCTCAGTATTTGTTAGCTTAGCTAGCTTAAGGCTTTTAAGTTTGATGGACTTACCATCGCAGTCATGAAATGTCGCGATGATATATTTGTTTAGACAAACGCGCCAAATTGAAACCGAATGCCATTAAACAACAGAGTTAAATAAAAGTTGTTGGCTCTAAAGATATTTTTGATTTTTCACCGTGATGCACGGCCAAACAGAGCAACTTTCTCTGTGTGGTGGAACTATAGTACCGCCGCTACGTTCAAACACGACGTCATGACGTAAGGAACGTCACGCAAAGAGTGAATTAGCACAAGAGGACTCCCTCCTCCACGGTCCTCCTCTCGTTCAAGCAACATAAACTCTGAGCTAATGTCTGGATCTTCATTTTTTCCGTTATTTAATTGGTATTAACGTGTAACTATTCAAGAGTTTCGTTTTTTTTTTTAGATGGGTTATATTTGACAGTTTATATTTTGTTATATTCAATTAACGTTATTTAAAAAAAAAAAAACGTTTTTTAAAACATACAAAATGAACGTTTGCCTTTTTTCTGTTTTCGTCTTGCACAAAATTAAGAAAAATAAGCAAAACAACATGTAGATTTTTTTAAAAAGTGAATTTATTTTGTGGTGTGTTGGAAAATAAAAATTATGAACATAACATTTCCATAGCATTTCAGGTGATATTGTGCCATAAATCAAAAATAAACTTAACAGTGGCATATGAAGAACTTGCTATTGCTTATTTAATTTTTTTAAAACATTTATATTATAATGTCACAGGGGGAAAAGCATCATGCATATTTTTCCTCTATATTTAAACTAAAGATCTTTGCTTCGATGCATTTTAGGTCAATACCGCCATCTAGTGGCCACAGTAAATATGAGGAGTATCAGCTTTCATGCTGATCTATTAATATCTGGAGTTGAACTTGTATTGGTGCAACAATCTTGTGACTGTGTCCACAAAGAAGAACATTTGATTTGAATGAATAATCATAATAGTTTGACTTAAAACAAAAATAAGTTCTAAAAGTGTTGATTTGACCTACTGGGATCTCTGTCTTCTATTGCCAGTGAAAGGTGAGTTTAAGTTATCTGTGTATTTCTGTATGTAGTGGAGCTTCAGAGGCAAAAGGTTTAAAGGAGGTTGTGTGAAGTTCTGCTGAGGTGACTGTAATTCTGCATTAGTTTACCAAGACAACAAATGTTTTATTTATGCAAGGCATTATTTTAGGTTCCCATGTCGAAGGGTTCGTTTCCGTTCACCTCTACATCACTGCGCTCGCTCAGACTGGAGCAGGAGTTTCAAGAGTGGGAAGATGCCCGTCGAGCTTTGGCCCACAGGAGAGCCATGACCAGGTCCCCTCTGCCTCGGGCCCCTCGGCCTCCTCCCAGGCAGCAGCGGCTGCAGGAGGTTCGAGCCCCTCCGCCTCAGGTCTGCTGCAGAGACACGACCATCCACAACACCTTCATGTGTGGCGACATGAAAGGAATCTATGCGGTGCTGAAGGACCCTGCGATGGTCAACGCCCTGATGGAGACAGTGCATGAGGAGATGGTGTGGGCCCCGGAGATGGGTAAGACCTCAGGAGGTTGTGTTTTACAGTTTCAGGTCCTGAACGCTCAGCTGCCTCTCTGCTCCTCTGCCAGGGATGTGGACGATGAGCTCCAAGGTGAAGCAGACCTCAGCCTTACGCCTGGCTGCCAGCAGAGGACACGCAGCGTGTGTGGAGGAGCTGCTGTTCCGTGGAGCTGAGGTCAACGCTGACCCCGGGGGCAACACGGCTCTCCATGACGCCTGCGTGGGAGGCCACTCCGTCTGCGTCCAGCTGTTGTTGTGTCACGGAGCAGATCCTGAACTGGTGGCAGCGGACGGCAGGGCTCCTCTTCACCTCTGTTCCTCCATGCACTCACTCCAGTAAGAGCTGAGGGGACTGAAAACCCTCATTTACAAGTTCACAAACGACAGCAGAGAGATTATGTTCGTACCCTTGTATGTGTTTGTTAGCAAAATATCTCACAAATTGCTGAACTCATTATAATGAAAGTTTCAGAAAGTAATAATTAGATACAACTAAACTGATTAACTGTTGTAGTCAAAAATTACAAACTAAATCAATTTTATAAATACTGAGCTTGTGCATATCTTGTACCAGATACCTGGCACAAACCAGGTAAGTATCAGGTATATACCAGGCATCAAGGTACAAGATAATCCCAGAAACTAGACAAGTATCCACAGATTTGGAACATTTTTTAATGTGTTTCTGCTCCTTTTCCTCTCCTGTCCTTGTGGGGAAATGTTTCGCCCAACGATGTAGAGTGGCAGAAAGTTTGTGTTTCAGTGGATGGTTCGACTGAAACACGTGGATCTGATCTGTGTAAGTTGGTTTCCTCCATATTGAGGCTTCCATCTTCTCCAAACGGTGCAGAATAGGCAGCTTGTTGTTGTTGGCATCCTCTCTGGTGAACCTGATGTTCTTCACAGAGTTGACACATCTGGTGAACACTTTTACTTCCTTCGTTTGGGGCTGACTCAAGTGTCAGTATCTGGACTAGTGACTCAGTTTGGTGACTCCTCAGATCGATTAAGTCCTTTGGATGAAGGACGAAATATCTCAGCTTAAAAAAGAAACTGTTCAGATGATCTGACTGAACACTGTTGGATTATATATGTGGATTATTGAGCATGAACTTTGGTGTAGTGACTCTGTCTTGTTCCTTTGAAGGAGTCCAGGCCTCTCTTTTCCACTTGAGAACGGCCACAGAGATCCCATGGGACAGTCATGCTTCTGTCCATAAAAACTGTCACTGACCTTATGATAAGTGTTAGAAAGACAGAGGTCCAGCAGGGTATGACTCTGGTTTAGGTTTACAAGTGAAATGACATTCAAAAGTGTAAAAGTTTCTCCTGGAGCCAGCTGGAAATGTTGAACTTTGTTTGCAAAGTAGATGGAGTTCCACCAACATATCAGCAAGAAGTTCTGCTTTATTCTGTCACTGATGTTGGTTCTGGGTGGTGGTTCTTCTCCAGTGAAACAAAGAGTGGCTTCCCCTGGATGCAATCCATGCTACAACGATCGATCGATTACATCATCTTTTTACAGTCTTTGCGGGTCTTTTTAGGTGCTGTTGGGTCCTTTTCAAGGTCTCGTGTGGTGCTGTTGCTCAGTAACGTGGATATTTTGTCCTGGTGTTCAGAACTGTTGAGGCCACTGTGCATCTTCTTTGTCAGCTGGTACCACGGTGATGTTTTGGTCCTGTCCAGAAGATGCTGTGAGATTTGAAGTTTGGCACTGGAGACGGTTGCTGTTTCAGTCCGCTTGTTGGTTCAGCGGCAGCGATTAATTCCACATCAGGTAGTTCCTGTGGAGAAATGGCAAAATTCAGTGTTTGTGTTTTCCAGCTGTGCTCAGCTGCTGTTAGAAGGAGGCGCCGACGTCAACGTGAGGAGCAGGGAGTCGAGGCTCACCCCTCTGCACGTGGCCGCCCGGCGAGGCCTGGAGGAGCACGTGGACCTCTTCCTCCACCACGGAGCAGATGTTTTAGCCACCAGTCAAGAGGGGGAGACGCCTCTGAACGCCGCGTGCTCCGGAGCGGAGAGGCCGTCCGAGGCGGGACGGTACCTCCGTGTGATCCAGAAGCTGCTGGACGCAGGAGCTGACCCCAGAACCGCAGGAAGGAAGCAGCACACCCCGCTGCACAACGCCTGCGCAAACTGCTGCCCCAGGATCGTGGAGGTCCTCCTGCAGCGCGGAGCCCAGGCCGAGGTGGTGAACTGTGCAGGACACACACCCATGGACTGTTTGATGCAGGTAACAGATGGAGAGGTGTGGCTGCCGCGCAGAGGGATGGGTTAGCTCGGACATTTGGACTGAAATGTTACTTCCTGGTCCTCCAGGTGCTGGAGGATTACCCGAACCAACAACCCGAGGCCGTAGCCCAATCCCTCCTGAACCACGGAGCCAAAGGAGTTCCACTGAAGGTCCACCAGAACCGCCACAAAACTGACGGAATAAAACGTTTAAATCCTGGCAGAGCGCAGACGAATACACATTCTGTGTTTTTGTATTTAAAGACACATGAAAAACATTTAAAGTTCAGGCAAAATTCAATAAAACTGTTCAATAAAACTGTGTTCTGCTACAATTTGAAGTAAAATATTTAGGTGTAAATTAATATTTAAATAATAGATTAATATTAGATTGTTTGTGAAGTGAATTCTAATTAAACATTAGAAAATACAAAAAAGCTAATATTTCTGATGTATTAAATATTAAATTAATTAATTATATTTATTTTGATTAAAGTTAAAAGTTGCAAAAGGATCGCTAAAAGTAGCAGAGCGCTAGCTAAAATCTAAAATTTGCAAAAAAAAACTAGCTAGAAGCTAAGCATTAAAGCTGTCCAAGAGCTAAACATTTCAAAAAGTTGGCTATAAGTTAAAAGTAGCAAAAGGTTAAAGACTAGCTAAAATTAGCAGTGTGGTAGCTAAAGGCTAATAAAAGCTAAAGCATAATTAAATGTCTAAAGTTGAAAATTTCTAGCTAAAATCTAAACGTAGCAGAATAGTGACCAAAAGTTAAAAATAGCAAAAAGCTAGCTACAAGCTATAAGAGGCAAAAATGCTACCTATAAGCCTAAAGTAGCACACGGGTAGCTAAAAGTAGCAGAATGGTAGCTGAAAGCTAAAAACAGCAAAAGCATAGCTAACAGTTTAAAGTAGCAAATCCCTAGCTTAAATCTAAAAGTAGCAGAATACTAGCCAAAAGTTACAAACATCCGAAGGCTATAGCTACAAGCTTAAAGCAGCGAAAGATTGTCTATGAGTCTAAAGTAGAGCAAGGCTAGAGACAAGATAAAATTAGCCGAAAGGTAGCTGAAAGCTAAAAGTAGGAAAAGGCTACCTAGAAGGTAAAAGAGCTGAGATTTATTCCAACACGAACACTGAGAGTTAACGAGTGGAATAGTAGTAGTAGTAGTAATAGTAGTAATACTAATAGTATTAGTAGTAGTATTAATAGTAGTAGTAGTAGTAGTAGTAGTAGTAGTAGTACTAATAGTAGTAGCAGAAGTAGTACTAATAGTAGTAGTAGCAGTAGTAATACTAATAGTAGTAATAGTAGTAGTAGTAGTACTAATAGTAGTAGTAGTAGTGGCAGCAGTAGTACTAATAGTAGTAGTAGTAGTAGCAGTAGTAGCAGTAGTAGTAGTACTAATAGTAGTAGTAGTAGTAGTAGTAGTAGTACTAATAGTAGTAGTAGTAGTACTAATAGTAGTAGTAGGAGTAGTAGTAGTAGTAGTAGTAGTAGAAGTAGTACTAATAGTAGTAGTAATAATAATAGTAGTAGTAGTAGTAATAATAATAGTAGTAGTAATATTAATAGTAGTACTAATAGTAGTAGTAGTAATAATAATAGTAGTAGTAGTAATAATAATAGTAGTAGTAGTAGTAGTAGTAGTAGTAGTAGTAGTATTAGTAGCAGTAGTAATATAAAAGTAGTAGTAGCAGTAGTAGTACTAATAGTAATAGTAGTAATAATAATAGTAGTAGTAGTAATAATAATAGTAGTAGTAATAATAGTAGTAGTAATAATAATAGTAGTAGTAGTAATAATAATAGTAGTAGCAGTAGTAGTAGTAGCAGTAGTACTAGTAGTAGTAGTAGTAGTAGTAGCAGTAGTACTAGTAGTAGTAGTAGTACTAGTAGTAGTAGTAGTAGTAGTAGTATTAGTAGCAGTAGTAATATAATATTAGTAGTAGTAATAATAGCAGTAGTAGCAGTAGTAGTAGCAGTAGTACTAGTAGTAGTAGTAGCAGTAGTAGTAGTAGCAGTAGTACTAATAGTAGTAGTAGCAGTAGTACTAATAGTAGTAGTGGCAGTAGTAGTAGTAGCAGTAGTAGTAGTAGCAGTAGTAGTAGTAACAGTAGTAGTAGTAGCTGTAGTACTAATATTAGTAGTAGCAGTAGTAGTAGTAGCAGTAGTACTAATAGTGGTAGTAGCAGTAGTACTAATAGTAGTAGTAGCAGTAGTACTAATAGTAGTAGTAGCAGTAGTACTAATAGTAGTAGTAGCAGTAGTAGTAGTAGCAGTAGTAGTAGTAGTAGTAGTAGCAGTAGTAGCAGTAGTAGTAGTAGCAGTAGTAGTAGCAGTAGTAGTAGTAGCAGTAGTAGTACTAATAGCAGTAGTAGTAGTAGCAGTAGTACTAATAGTAGTAGTAGTAGTAGCAGTAGTACTAATAGTAGTAGTAGCAGTAGTAGTAGTAGCAGTAGTACTAATAGTAGTAGTAGTAGCAGTAGTAGTATGTGACGTTTGTTTTTCTTCAGATGCTGAAGCTTTGCGCCTCCGTTCCTTCCGTCCTGGAGGTGATGCTGAACTCGTCCCCCTCCCTCCCTCCTTGTGAGTGGATGGACTCTCTGTCCTCTGAGGTGTGTGAGGTGATCTCAAGCAGCTTCTCCTCAGCTTGTTTCTCTTCCTCTCCGTGATGCTTCTCCCTCTGCGTCTCAGGAGAACCGGCCTCTCTTGGATCTGCTGCGTCAGAGGAGCGGCTCTCCTCGCTCTCTGCAGCATCTCTGTCGATGTGCTCTTCGTCAGCAGTTGGGAGCTCGATGTCACTCAGCTGTCAGGGAACTGGACGTTCCCACCTCTGTGAGGGACTTTCTGCTGCTGTGCAACGATGGGACACTTAAATAATTGTTGCGCCTTTAGCACTTTTTGTGCCACGATCAAATACATTATTTGGGACTTGTTCTAGATTTTGTGTTGCTGTTTTTGGTCTAATCTCATATTTGCATAAAGCTGTAAGAAGTTTCTTTCATTTGAATGTGTAATAATAAATACAAGTTGCAACACTGTGCCAGTCACGCAAATGTTGTTGGTCTGAGGTGTGTTCCAGAGCATCAGTGATTGAATTGCATCATGAAGACCAAGGAGTCTCCAGAATGTCTGGCTTTAGACATGTTACTGATGGAACGTGGCCTAGTTTCCTCCACACATGCTGAAAAAAATGTTTTCCAAAAAGCGAGATGCACCACAGTAAACTTAAGAGTCAGTTTACCTCACATCAAGGCAGACATTTTAAAATGGCTGCTCAGTGCATACTTACTCCACAGTCGTTAAGAAGAGTAGAAACTGGTTTAACGCTTTTTATACAAAATTAGAAACTGCTGTATTTGGTTCAACTACTTGGGGGGAGGAGCAACAGGCGGATCTCGTTTCCATAACAACCGTCCCTCCGCCCTCTGCTGACGTCACGCCGCCTGCGCCGTGTTTATTCTGTGTGCTTTTTTTTTTTTTTTAGCCGCTTCAAAAGCTAACTAGAGCTAATCCTGGTGTTTAATCATGCTCTGACTTTTTTTTTAACAACTGACAGGTAAGGCTGGTCTGAACACGTTATTTTAACAGACTTTTAGGTGTTCCGTTTGGAAAAAGTTGTGACAAAAACTAAACGAGAGCAACGCGGCGGGTTGTAAACAGCCGAAGGTCGTTTTCCCCACACAGCTAGCTAGTTGTTAGCTCGAAGGCTAAGTTAGCTCGCAGTTAGAAGCCCAAGCTAAAAAATAGTTTAAGAAAACGACACACAAAAAAGCTTTTAAAACGTGAGGATAAAGACTAAATGACAAAAACATGACGTGATGGAAACGTTGCCCCGAACAGCTCAGTTCCTGCTAGCAGCTGCTTTTCACATCATTTCTGCCTCCAATGTTTACATCTAATAAATATTTTGCCTCTGAGACGTGAAGTTTCATAATTCCTGTTCAAACACCTAAGCTGCAAGGAATGTTTGGTGCAAAGCAGGTTTGTTCTGATCTGCAGGGAAAGGCTGAACAGGAAGGTCTGAGCTTTTTAAAGACTATGCTGGCCTAGATTCTTAATTTCCTCCAAAATAAATAAAACTTAAATGGTGTTTTTTTGTTATATTTTCATACATTAGATCAATTAAGTTCGTTTCAGGTTAGATCTCAGTCTCAGATGTTGATGCAACACTGAAATGTAGTTCCTTAATTCAATTTTATCCCTAAGCTTTTTTGGTTTGACTTCATTTTTATTGAGTTTGAAACCATTTGTTACCTGATGATGATCGTGCCCTTTTTTTGTGTCTGCAGGACCGGAGGACAGAGATGGCAGTCTGTGCGCTGACCATGTTGGATGGGATGGGGGATGAGGTGGTGGCGGCAGGCGGCATGTTGCTCCTGGTCATCGCCCTCATCTTGGCTTGGCTCTCGACCCACGTGGCCGACCGGGGAGACCACATTCTGGGCACCATCCTCACGGTGGGTGCTCACGCCTCTCTTATAGGTCTGGGAGGTCATGAGAACTACAGCGGAGGATCTGCCGGTGCCGACGCCCCCGAGCAGCAGACCGCTCCACCTTCGCAGGAGAACAAGCCAGATGAAGACGAGCCTGCGGCTGAAAGAGGAGAGGGTGAGGGGACAGGGGAGGGGGCTGAGGGAGTGTGGACTGACCTGATGCTGGACATTCAGAGCAAAAACCCTCAAACTGGAAGAATACACGCTTCTGATGAAGAGGAGGATGAAGTGGATGAGGAGGAGGAGGATGAGGAGGAGTTAAGGCAGGTAGAAAAGAGGCCAGTGAAGTCCACAAGTGTTTTGACCACCACCGCTGCCACCTTCATCTCTGTCCGATTGAAGTTTTTAAACGACACAGAGGAAGTGGCTGTTGTGGAACCGCAGGACACAGTTGGGATACTGAAAAGGTTTGTTTTTGCAGTTTTTGTGCTAAACTAAGTCTGTTCATGAAGGATTTCATTTTTACTTTAATTTCAAACTGCTTTATTCATTTCTGATTTAAATGCAAATACATATATATATATATATATATATATGTGTGTGTGTGTGTGTGTGTGTGTGTGTGTGTGTGTGTGTGTGTGTATATATATATATATATATAGATGGATGGATATAGATATATAGATAGATATAGATACAGATAGATAGAAATATAGAGATATCATAATGTGGAGCTATTCCTTTAAAATGTTGTTTCTTCTTTTGTAGCAAATGTTTCTCAGGTCGGGAGCATCAAATTAAATTAATCTATCGAGGCCAGCTGCTGCAGGACCCTAAGAGGACTCTGATTTCCCTAAACATCACCGACAACAGCGTGATCCACTGTCACGTCTCCCATACCGCACAGGAAGCCGGTCAGGAGGAAGGGGGTCAGCCTGGGGCAGGAGTCGGATCTGGCGTGTCTGGAGGGTTCAGAGCAGTGAGTGTGGCCATCAGCACCAGCAGCCTGATGGTGCCCGTGTTCGTGGTGATCCTGGCCGTAGTGTGGTACTTCCGCATCAACTACAGGCAGCTCTTCACCGCCCCCGCGACCATCTCCCTTGTGGGAGTCACTGTGTTCTTTAGCTTTCTAATTTTTGGGATGCACAGCCGCTGAGAAGGCGTCTCACACCTTCAGATAAATATCATGAAGTAAAAAAAAAAAAAAAAAAAGCCCAGCAGTAGGCTGGCAGCTGGAGAGATGGACTGATTAAGAAGCAGCTCAATGCTGCAGCTGATGGGGAGGTGTGTGTGGGTGGAGGAGAGCCTATTAGTGCATGTACCAAGGAGGGAAAAAAAACACTAAATAGTAAGCCTGTCGCGATAAATCAATTAATCGCATGATAAATGAAAATTATCGACCTCATTTTCATTTATCGGCTTTATCGTTTCTTCGTCTCTCTTTCTTCTGAAGACACTGGATGACGAAAAGCTCAACTCCGGTGCTCTTCACTGACACCCCCCCCCCTTTCTCTTATCATTAAAATCCCATTTTAACCGTCCAAAATTGTGTCTTTGGATTGTTAAAAGCAGCTAAGCTGAGAAGCTAAGCTAACAGGTCGACCTCGGGGAAAAAACTTGCGTCTTTTCAAAGCTCCAAAATTCACGGAAGAAACTCGTGTCTTCGTGTAAAATCTTGTTTTTCTCTGCAAAAATAAGCTGAGAACTTGTCTGATTTTTTTTTTATGTGTGAAAAATACTTTGCCAAAGAGCTCCAACCACACCGAGCGGCTGCCATTTTGAGAACCGAAGAGACGGCCCATGTCATGTGAAGGGGCCTCGTCATTCCCCCATCTGCTACGGAAGCACGATCCGTAGTGTACTTCCGGGTCACACGGATTGCCACCGTTTATGAATAAAAACCGTCTTAAGTTACTTAGAAAAGTACGTGCTCCATCTCTGCCAATCTTCATGTAGCTAATTTACGCCACTCCGTTACACATCATTGGTTAAGATATGCGACGCATTAGACCCGACCCCCAGCCTGAGCTGAATGAGGAAAAAACCTGCAGGATACGGAATGAATCATTTCCATGGTGAGACGGCGCCGCTCAGTGGTGACGCTGCGTATCGTTTTAACCATGACATAAATATGTCAATGATTTTAATGGAAATACGAGTGGTGTAAATTAGCAACATGAAGATCGGCGGATAGAGCACGTACTTTTCTAAGTAAAGTAAGACGGTTCTTATTCATAAACGGAATTATACCAGTATTTTCCTTAATCTAGCATAGTCAACGGCGATCCGTGCGACCCGCAAGTATTCCTGTTAACGCATGCGCAAATGAGCAACACTACGGATCGGGTTCCGTAACGGATCTGTGAACGACAGGCGTCACATTTTTATTAGAGACACGCTGCTCACTCCCTCACTAACCATCCTTTGGTTCAAACAGTCTTATACTGCCATCCGGTGGCCTAAAAAAGGTACTACACTCAAAACAAATTGACACGTCTTCTTAAATTTCACAATTACAAATGGTCAAATTTCAAACAATATTATCGTTTATCGCAATAATTTGAGAATTAATCGCCCAGCGAAATTTGTTACCGTGACAGGCCTACTTAACAGTGAGAATTGATTTTACTGGAGCATTTAGTCTTCTAAAACATGACTAAGTGGTTTACACCATGTTAAAACACTTTTATTGTTGAGACGTCATGAATCTTTAACTTTCTCTTTTTTTAGAGAACTGTTTCCATGTTTTTAAAAACGGTGAGCTCGTTAAAAATCACTGTTGTGCTTTGCCAGTTGGAGTCGATACACGTTTGAATAAGTCTCAGCTCTGTTTAAACGCATGAGTGCAAGGGTAAGACTTTTGTTGCTGCTTTCTAGATTTAGGCTTATTTGAACATTTACTAGACACTGAGAAGAAGTTGTAAATAAGTTTTGTGTAAATATTAAAAACAGATGAAGAGGAACTTCCTCCTGCTCATACTGGACCCGTTTCAGTTCTGTCTAGAATAAAAGCATTTCCATCCAAACCAGCTTCAGCAAACGTTTTATTTAAATACAAACAAATCACGTGCGCTCGTTTGTGCTCGATACACAACACTGCACTTCCACTGCACACAATTCACTCCGAGCCACAAACTTCAGCCTCTTTCGCAAAAAGTCAAATCCTACTTCGTGGTGAAAATAAGGTTTATTCTGAAAACTGTTCGTCACCATCGTGATGTTGAAGGCGTTGAACTGAAAACTTTGAGAACAATCAAATTGTTCCACAGTTGGTCCCAATAATCAAGGCAGCCTTGATAAAAAGATGAGCCTGTTGTCCTCAACATAACTCATATATATCGCCATATATTATATATAATTATAGTTTAAATCGTTTCATTTGCTCTAATTCGCACAGGAGAAACAGATGGCCCAGATTTTTTTAAGTCATTTATAAATGACTGGAAAACATGATTGCATGCATGTAGACCAAGGGAAACGTCTAAAACGGCACCGACCTTCACTGAAGTGTCACTTTGCAAGATGCATAGTTTGATGAAAATAAAAATGAAGACGATAATTGTTTGAAACGGATGAAAAGCAGCAAACGAAATAAATAAAATGCAGCAAAACGAGGATTTCTGGCTTCAGGGAGAAGCAGCTGATCGGAGAGGACCTGGAGGTTTCAGGAAGCGGCATCAGAGAATTTAAATGCTTGGATTTATTAAAAAATAATAGTTTAATTTTCACACAGAATATTCTATTTCACAGAAAACAGCTCAAGTGGCTCATTAACTCGACTACAGAAGACCCTGTTGTTCAAATATATTTCTATTAAATCCTATTTTCATCCATTTAAGACGAACTTATTGCACAAACCTTTAAGGTCCTTTCTTTCATCGGGACCAGACAGAAAAAGTGACACCTGAAGGCACCACGAGTCCTCGGGATGTCTGTTCTGAATTAGTTCATCAGTTGAACGTGTGAGGTTGTCCCACGATAATAAAATGGATTTCTCTTTTCACACCTGAATAAATAAAGTCCTACTTGGGTTTGGTGTAAAACGAGAAGCAGCAAACGGGCCCGAGCTAATTCAAGTCGTCGTAGATGCTGGAAATGAAAGCTGCGGAGAGTTTGGGCTTCTTTTTACTCGTCAGATTTAAATTACTCGGAGGGTTGCTGCCGTCAGTCGCAGCGCCGCTCGGACCCAGAGCCAGCCTCTTCTTCTTGGGCCTCCGAGAGTCGGCGTGGTTGGTGCCTGCGAGACGGGACACATCAGTTTTATATCAATAAAATAAACAAAAACCTTTCAGCGCAGCGGCCTGCTTACTGGCTTTAGACGACGCCGAGTCGGCGGGAGAAATGTCAGACGAGTCTTCCCACTGCAGGCGGCTCATCACGCTCGGCTCATCGGGAACGTCGAAGCTGTTGCTCTCCGGCTTGGCGTCGGGCAGCGCCGGCCTGATCCACAAGCCCCAGAAACACGAGCGATAAAAGGTGAAAACTCGCAGAACTACAGCTGCATCTTTGCACCTTAAGGTACTCGTGACGTCATGAAAACCAGTAAAATAAAAATCTGCACTTCTCTTTTCTCTCGCTGGTGGAAACTTAGTGACGTGGTGTGTTCGAGTGCTAAACGCCGCCTTTAAGGCGCTCCACCTCTGGTTCTTGACGAGTCTCGCTCGTTTTCTCTGTTTTTGTGTTAAACAGCAGATTCACGCTTATATTTCCATCTTTGAGACTCCACACAACTGGGACCAGTCTAGTGGGTCAGTCGTGTGACTCGACCCTTGAAATGGTTTTCATGGATTCAGCCGAGCGCGTCACTTACACCGAGCACAGAACTGCACATTACCGATCAATGTATTTGGAAATACTTTAGTAAAAGCACCATTTGATATAGTTGAGGTAACATTTGTGTTTTCTTTTATTGTTTGAAATGAGTACCTTTAATCATCGATAAATAAATAAAAAGCTCCTGTTCTGTATTTGTGGGAATTTGTCTTTGTTTAAACATGACTGACACAAATCTTTTGATCTTTTTGCAACTTGCAATTTTTAAATAAATGAATGAGATATTAAAAATTAAACTTGGTTAATACTTAAAACAAATGTATTTTTGTGAGGAACAGGCTGCAAACAAATGAAAGTTTGAAAACAACGAGTCCAAAAGTTATTACAATAGTCCCTCGTTTATGGCAAGGTATCTGTACCCTGAAGACCCGGGATAAGTGAAAAACCACAAAGTAGGAATAGCAGTACAAATAGTTTATTTTAGTATATTTGTGTGTATATATATATATATATATATATATATATTATTTTTATTAAAGATGTTTTAAACCCTTCTCACACTCTTGCAATATTCTAAACAATGTTTCTAAACTCTCTCAAAGAGCAAAGCATGTCATGACTTCAGCTCCCTGCAAGCACTCTTGGCCACGCCCACTTCTCCTCTCTGCACGAGAACAGCTGATCAGCTGCAGCAGGAAGTCTATCTTTCAGTGTGGGCTGCACAAAGGTGCTAAATAATTAAAAATAATTTATATTAAATAAAAATTCCAAGCCGATCGTGCGGCTCGTCCATCAATCAGCCAATTGCGTGTCATGTCCAATCTTATTTTGAAAAGCCGCGATAAACGAACCGCTAAGTAGCGAGGGACTACTGTGAATAAATAAAACACCTGAAAACTATGGATTTAGAGCCCAAACATTTTAGTGTAGACGCTTATTTTTAAGAGAAGTTACCTGTTGATCTAAATGCAGCTGCCCGTCAAATATAAGACGCTTTACATTTTATTTAATCTAATTTATAGACTAAATTTAAAAACGTGTTTATTGACTGAGACAACGTGATCAAAAAACATTGAGATGATAAACTTAAATGATAAAACTTAAGTCCAATCAGCAAACACAGAAACGATGAATTATTGGCTTCACTTTTCAGACGTGGCTGGACATTTTTTACATGATGATGAAACGTAACAACTAGAATCACGATGGCAGCAATAATTCAAGCAGAACTTGACCTAAATACTGTCTGTGAGTCACACTCACGCGGACGGCCCAAGGAGGAACACCCTGACGGTCCTCCTCTGCTCGTCCGTGTGTTGGGGGCACCGCTGAGACCTGGAGGGACACAAGGTGGCATGACTGACAGCCTGCCCACACAGTTTGATTCATCCCCCCGGCTGGTTTCATCATGCCGACACGTCGACTGCGTCTCCTCACACGCGTGACGATGGCGCGGATAAATAACTTTGGGTCATAGGAAGTGTAAGTTAGCTAAATAAAAGGCAGCCCCCGTCCGCAGGAGACAGTGGGACAGACTGCTGGGACACAATCAGGGGCAGATTAAATGTCTAAAGTTAAAATGTGCATCTGTTTTAAGATTTCATACAAAAGTGTGTTAAAAAAACTCCCAAACTACTCAAAGCGATGGAAAAAAACAGCCATTAGGACAGTTTCTGTATGACATCATCAGTGTCTCGCATCATGGTGGAGGAATTTTAGCCACTAAAATTCTGCCTCAGCTCGTCGATTCACCCACAGCTGCAATGAGACGTGTTTTTATTAAACGGAAAGCTTCAGTGAGACCCGTCTGTTTGCGTTTAGTAAAACATTAGCCAAGCGGTTAACAACATCCGTACGGCAGAGCATGCATCACCAGCAAGAAGTCATTGCTGTTGTCTTCCCTCCCTGGCGTTGTGTTCTGAACGCGCCAAAGTGGACGCGCTTTATTTTCATATGTTTAAATGTGGGTGCATTTTGATGCTGCCATTTGTGCACCCCTGAGCTATTATCAACAAACCGGATCATTTTCTAACAAAATATTTTATAATCTCTAAGTTTATTCAAATATAAAGACAGAGAGGCGGTGACGCAAGAACCTGGACGTGATGGGACAGCGGGTGCAGAAACCATTTGTCGACTTTGTCTTTATTTTTACCTGGTGCACATCTTCTTGGTGTGCTCAGAGATGACCCCACATTGCTGTAGAAACAAATGATCAGAGCTGAGGATCAACATGAATTAAATATTTAAATTAAAAAAAAAGATTTTCACTTTTGAGTTGATTCGTGAAAGTGGCTCACCGTAGTCAACAGAGACCGGACTTCATCGGGGCCTAAACTTTCATAACTGATCCCCGTGTTGTAGTTGTACTGCAATAAAGAATAACAAAGTGTTACTTTCTGCACGAATCAACAAAAGTTTACGAAACTTTTGAAGGATGCGTCACCTTGTACGACTCTGAACTGACGCTGCTGCTGCTGAGCTCGCCTGAAAAGAAACGACAAAAAAACGGGTCGTGCTCCAAACAATGTTTTTAACATAAAATTCAGTTCAAGTGTAATTTTTCATTCCTCGTCAAAACATAAATAACTGGAGAAATTGAATTTCCTGCAAAAATGCAGTGTGAATGCTTATTGCTGAAAAACAGCTGAAATTAGCTATTAAAAAAAAACAAAAAAAAACACACACATGATGAAATGTAGCTGAAATGAAAGAACACGCCTATATTGGCAGAAGAAAGATGACGGAACACATATTTGCTGAATTTAGTTTAAATAAGCAGAAATGAGCACAAAAATTTAGAGACTGGCTTAAAAAAAGAGCTGAAATTAGCAAAAAAAATACCTGAAATTAGCTGAAAAGGCAAAAAGAAGCTTAAACTACAAGAAAGAAGCGGAAAGAACTGACATGAGCTAAAAAAAAAAAGTGGAATTAGCTGAAAATGCAAAAAATTAGCAGCAAAAGAGCAGAAAAAAGCTGAAATTAGCATAAAGAAGTTAATTAGGCTGAAAGTGGCAGAAATTACCATGAAAAACGCTAAATTTAGCTGAAAACAGCTGAAATTTGCTTTAAAATGCTAAAAAGTAGCCGAAAAGGTAGAATAAGCTTAAATTAGCATAAGAAAGCAGAAAGAACATACGTTTGCCCAATTAGGCTTAAAAAAGCATAAAGAAGTGGATATTATCTAAAAAAAAAAGCTGAAATTAGCAACAACAACAAAAAACAGCTGAAAAGTAGCTAAAACAGCAGAAAAGCTTAAAGTACCAGAAGTAGAGCACTTTTTGCTGAATTAGGCGGAAAAAAGTTAAAAATGTGTAATTAGCTGAAAAAGCTCAAATTAGCATAAAAAACAGCTAAATAGTAGCTAAAATAGCAGCAAAAGCTGAAACTTGCATAAATAAACTGAAAAGGAGCATAACAAGCTGAAATGAGCAGAAAGAAGTTGGAAGAAGCACAAAAATGTTGTAGTTATCAGAAACAATCTGAAAAGAGTGCAAAACAGCTGAAATTTAGGAGTGCACCGATTGCAGTTTTCTGGCCAATCACTATTTCTAAATAGTCTGACCTGCCGATTCCGATTTTGGTTTATAAGCGACATTGTCGGATGTTATAACGTCACAATGCACCTTCAATTTTCCAATATTATTTTTTTTGAAAAACAGACCCTTGAACAATATTCTAGAAACAAAACAAATTTGTTTTAACTGGCCACGAGGTAGTGCTCTGAAATATAAATGAAGTTTAGACAATTGTTGTTAAAACTAAAAAAAAAAATTGCTAAAGTTGTTGAAATGTGAAATGAGCAGGAAAAGATCTTGTGAAGGATGTAAAATGAGCTCAGCTAATTTCCTATGAGGAAAAAGTGGCAGCATAAGCTAAATATTTCAAAAAGCTCAAGTTGCACCTAAAGTCATAGCGCCCTTCTCCTGAATGAGCTGAACGATTTATGATTTGTTGGAATAGCACAAACGCTGTGGAGCGAGAAAGATGCTGAAAAACGTACGGAGAAGAAATGGATCACAGTGTGAATGCTTCGTAAACGTTCACGCTGTCGAAGTTTCACTCGGACATTTCAGGTCGATCCAGCTGAGCTACAAAGCCCGAGCCGCCACGACTCGGACTCCACTCAGACGGCCGATCTTGCAGCGCGGAGATACGACAAGGGTCTATTTTCAACTTCCTGCGGCCGAAGAAGCCTTCTTACCCAGAACATCCTGATCTGCAGCGCAGTAAGCGGGTTTCAGGGCAGAACCTAATCCTCTTCACTAAACCAGACAGGAAGCACCTGACAGGAAGCACCAGACAGGAAGCACCTGACAGGAAGCACCTGACCTACTCACCGTTTTTATGTTTCAGAGATTTGGATCTTCTCGGGGAATTCTGATTCTGTGAAAAATTAAGAACGTTGATGTGAAAGCTCATACGGACTAGAAGCCATCGCTCTGTGCAAATGGAAAATAAATGCACAAATACCTTGTCAGACTTTCTCTTCTTGGCTGCAACAGAAGCATCTCGTTAATTACGTGAACACCAACCTGAAGCCCTTCTTAACGAGTGCACACAACCCGGCCTTCACCTTTCTTTTCCGCTCCGTACGACCAGTCGTTGTCGTTCACGTCGTCGTTATCTTCCTGATCGCTCTCAGATTTGCTCGTGTTGTTGCTGCTGGCTAACCTAATGAAAGACAAGCACACCATTGGGATCAAAGGATCCACCAGAGCTCAGCGGTGAATGTGCTCAGGGCGGCCGTTGCGGAGCCACCTGCGGCTGGCGATGCGGCTGCTGTTGCGCCCCATCCCGAGACACTTCTCCAGGTGCGGAGCGAAACGGGACGCCGCGATCAGCCGTCTGCAGTTGGGACACTCGCACTCTTTGTTCTTCCACTGGTTGAACACCTGCCCGAAGACGTCCACGCCCGGCTCGTCCACAATCTCTGAACAAACGGCACGCGCAGGGATGAAAACACGGGCCGAGACACACGGACCTCATCCAGCTGTGAGTAACGGCACCGACCGAACTCCTTCGTGCTCTCCTGGTCCGTGTCGTCCAAGAAGAAGTAGCCCTGCTTCACCGCGCGGTGCACCTCGAAACACAGGCCCAAACAGGCGTCTTCCACCAGCTCCGAGTAGATGTCCTGCATCAGGGCCTGCAATATTCAAGATATGATGCGACAGAAGCTACAAATCTGGTCCAGGAAACGGTTCTTTCACCAAAGTTTACCGATTTTTACACGTCCTGTTCTATTTACTCTATAACTAAAATATAACGTTTACCAAATGGTCAAACTTTGAAAGTAACGTGCAATCTGCGATATGAGAACGTGTTCTGGATGACTCTCAGCTACTACCACGCCAAGCTCAATTTCTGTGAAACTGATTTATTTTTTTTTTTTTTTATCGTGTTTACTAAGTTCAGGTGGCCATCTTGAATCAGGTTCACTCCAAAGATGTAGATGTTCGTCCAATGATTACTTCCTGACCGTTCTGTTAAAATCCACCCGTTGACTCGTAGGATATTTTGCTAACAGGCGTAGTTTACCTCCAGCTTGGTGTTGTCTGGGCCTGAGAGACGCATTTCCTCCATTTTCATTTGAAAACCTGTGCTGGAAATGTTGACGGTTTACAACATAAAAACACAACAAAACAATATAAAATACGCATTTAGGCTCAGGAAATGAAACTATTAAAATTTACTCTTGTTGCAGATCTAGCTTCATTCTGTCACAATGAAATATTTAAACTTATTTACACATTGTTTTGATCACGTCTGATTTGAAATAACATTAGATTTAAATGTTAAATCTGAGTGATTCAAACGAAATTGTGATTTTAATATTTTCATGATGTAGCACAATAATGAACATGACAGAACTCAACATTAAAACACGATTAAAATAGCAACTAAAAGCAGACATGTTGGTAAAATGTGACGTCATTTACTGGAGCCAATCTTCAACAACAACGTCCTAAATTAAAACACAGCAAGTTTAAAAAATATCGTTAAATAACGTCACCGTGAGTTTCCTCACCCTCCGGTCAGACCGAGCACTCAGCCCGAATCAGGCGCGTTCTGCAGCATGACCGGAGCGGAGCGCGCAACTGCGTGGACGGAAGTAAAACTGCTCTCGCGCTGCCGCCATTTTAAATTTCACAACTCCAACATCTTCCTCGTCTCAGGTGAAGACTAACGTCGCAGGTGACAGGTGCCCGTTTCACTATAAACCACCGTTAGAAACCAGTTTGACGCCAGAGGCCGACAGGAGAAAAAAAAAAAACGATTTCCGGAAAACATACATCTGTTTCCGGTTTTGTTCTTCAAAATAAAAGCCCATAAAGAAGTGAGTTTGTGAGTAAATATTGAACGAATTTGTCTCTTGATAAAATTTATAGACGTCGCATGTTTAAAGCATATCTTAAAACTGTATATATTTTCCTTAAAAGCATACATTTGTAGGTCTCAAGCCTCCATCTTGTTAAAAATTTGTAAAAAAAATAAGTAATTTATTTGTGAACTAAATATGTCACAAAGCAAAATTAAACTACATCTAACGTGTGTAAAAAGGTAATTAAACGGATAACTGGTGAAATGAACAAAGCAAACATTGAATGATATAAATGTAAAAACTGTGCAATGGTACAGAACCGTTTCCAAGTTGGCAGCAAATTAAAAATGAAAATTTTGAAAAAGTACCAATACCAAGTCGTATTAAGACAAAAACTGGAGACGACAGTCCACTGAGACGCTTACAAATACAACCATGTAAAACAAGAACATTTTAAATGTCGTTCACTTTATTTACAACAAGGAAAAATAAATTGAAAACGTCCTAAGCAAATGAAAATCAAAGGTTCATAAAGATTTAGATATTTTATAAGATTTAGACAATAATTTATCCTTAAAATATATTTGTTTGGAATATGTGTGTAAACGTTTTATTTTACATGCACTTTCGATTGGATTGTTAAAATACAATAAATGCCTCCGCAGAGTATCAGATCAATTTTGATTCAGTTCAGTTTATTTATCACAACAGAAGTCATCTCAGGGCACCGAACAGAAACATTCACATAAACAAAAGTTAATAGAATTATTTATGAGAATAAATATGTTTATTTATAGGTTTATTTGATAAACCTGTCCTTTTTACCTCCAACAGAAATGCTCCACCCGCTTTCTTTTGGCTTTTTAATCCTATATTCTTCCTTAACTTGTATGTTTGTTAAAATTAATATTTTGAGATGCTAAAGAAATATATATATATACATATATCTTTTTTTTTTCTATTTTATGTGATCAACTAAGCAGTTTTTTTTGTACTTCCCTTTACTTTGAAAGTTCAGTTTAGCTACTTCCGCTGTGATAATTTTCCTCCAGACATTAATAGATGAGCTCCAACTCTACAATCCATTGGTTGAGCCTGATCAGCTGAGTTAAAATTACTGCTCGTTTAACCCCATTGTATGAATACGTTCATTTTTATACTTTGTTTATATATTTATCAAAATGTCATTTTTTTCACACATTTTTTCCTAATTTAATAATATTTGTTTTATTTACAATGTCTAAACTTGTAGTGTGTGACCTGAAGGCCCATTTCCATTTGTCTGTTAGCAAAATATTGTTCAAATAGTTGTCTCTTGCGCCCCCTGCCTCTCGCAGCGACAGCTGGACTGGGCACCAGTGACCCCAGTGACCTGAAACGTTAGAAGCTGGTAAAGATAATGGATGGACAGCTGATCTGCTCATCATCCCGCTGCAGAATGACCCACTGAAGTGTCACTTTGGGCTACGTTTGTGAAAGTGTCTTTGCGTAGTCTTGAAATGCACCAATCAGCACTCTGCAGGCTTTAAAGTCATTTTTAAGTATTTTTTTTATTTGCTCAAATACTTGAACTACAAGGACATAAGAACACCCTCGGCTATATAAAACATCAAATCCTGTCAAACGACCAGCAGTACAAACTTGTAAAGCTCTGCGGTCGAGTATATTTCTATAAAACAACACGAGGAGAGAAGAAAAACGGGCGGACGTCGACAACAACTCTCCTCTGTGAGTGAAAGGCTCACGGGCCTCCAGAGAAATCACAGATGAGGGTTTGCAAAATTAAAAGTACTAACAAAACGATAAACACTCGATGCAAAAAAGAACCACCCTGTATTTACAGATTTACATTTTACACCCGTGTCCTTTTGTAGTTCTGTTCCTGGAATCCCGTTTTCCCGTCGGTCGGTCGGTTTGCTCTCCTCTCCTCGTCGTTTCCGCAGCCCGTGCTGGTTTTGTTTCAGAGAACGACGGTCGAAATCGCGAAAAGCTGCGACGAGATCCATCGGTGTGGAAAACCCAAAATGTGAAGGTCCCGTTGCCCGTACGGATACAGGTCATCAATGGCGTAACAGCAATGAGCTTTGGGAAAACAAAACGTCTAAAAAAAGAAGAAATAATATCTACATTCATGTTATTGGTACGAAGCTCCCGCGGGCACAGACCTGCACGCTGTGATCGCATCATGATTTGCAAAAGAACGTCGGAAACAGTCCACAATAAAGCAAAACACACACACACGCCCTCGTATGTACATCGTACGGTGCATGCACACACACACTCGGAGACAAGCTCACTGTAGGCGCTCACTTCTCTTTTTTGGGGGGGATAAGCGTCAACCCCCCCCACAGGGATTACAGCCGTTAAAACGATAAAGATGAAAATAAAAACCGTTCAGATGATCTGAACTCCGATGCCCAACAAAACAAAAACCAAGCAAGAAAACAGAAATACTGAAAAACTCTATAAACGTGCAGGTTTGGACAACAGGCGGAACTGAAGGCGAGTAAGAAATGTGCATTAAAGACTCTGCTCTGTTGAGTTTAAATTAAAAAGGATGATTTAAGACTGCTGGACCAGAACCGCTCCGCTCAGAAATCGTTCCTCGGATCGTTTCGTAAACATGAACTGCAGCGTGAAAACTAATTCTCTGCGCCGACCTCATGGGTTTACTCACGAGCACAAGTATTAAATTCCCATGTAAAGTTTTTTAAGGTTCTCTGTAGACGTGTGTCCGTCTAATCCGAGTCGAAGTCAAACATGAGAAGTGCACGTGTGCATCTTTACAGAACAGAGGGGGGGGGGGTGACGTAAAAGAGATCCGACAACTTCAAGCAAAAACAAAAAAACAACAAATTAAAAACGTTCAGAATGGCTTGACTTTTGTTTTTCCTGAAAAAATACTTCTGTAGGAACCAAACCGTAAAATCCACATCGTGTCCGAGTACAGAAAGGGGAGCGACCCCGTGGAAGAAATATTACAGAAAACATTCAGAAGAGTGCAGCTGTTTTTTCCTGTGTCCTGCACACACTCCTCTCCGCCCCCCGTCCTGTCCTGAAGCGATCCTCCGTGCTGGTCTTTGGCTCCGTGAAGCCGTTTACAACTCCTGCTGCTGGAAAATTTAAATAAAACGCGCGAGGGGAAGCCTAACTGTTACCGTGTAAATGAACTCGACATCGCCCGATGTCAAATATGTTTTTGGTTTGACGATGACTCGTCTCTTCGTCTTCGCTGTGGGCGGGGTCAGATGGATGAAGCGATGCGGGGGCTCCCTCCGGTGGGGGGAGGGGAGCAGGTTGGCACAGCGGCGGACCTCCCTGGACTCTTGGCTCAGCTCAGCTCATAGTCTCAAGACGACTTCGGACCAGTTTCAGTCTGAATCCGAGTCGGACGATTCTGCCGAGTTCGACTCGCTGCTGCTGTCCTCAGATTTGTTTTCTTTGTCCTCCACCTCGTCATCGTCGTCATCATCATCGTCGTCGTCATCATCATTCCCGTCATTCTTTAAGCAAACAAACCAGTGAACGATTGGAATCTGAACGATTCTCATCCTGTACTTTTAATCGATCTTTACTTACATCGTCGTCGTCATCATCATCCTCCTCACTGGATGAGTCCGCTTCAGAGGAAGCCTTCTCCTGCTCGTCATCGTCGTCATCCTCTTCTTCTTCATCGTCGTCATCATCCTGCTCTACAGCCTGTCAGGAGAAACATTTTTTGACGACAGGTACGTAACAGATGAAACCAGTAACTCACTAAACCGCAGGGAGTTTCCAAAACTGAGCATCAAAGAAGCCCCTGAGTTTGTCAGGTGCCTGGAGCGCTTATTAATTTTGGTCCTGCGACGTTAAAGCTGTACTTTTTAATCGAAGGACATCCACTTAGTATTTCGTGGCCCACAATGGCGTCCCGACAGAAACCTTGTGAACCACAGGTTTCACGTTCATTTTTCGAAGCTGTGCACAAAACTAGAGGCTGGAGGCGCAAACACTCAGAATTCAGTGACACTGCAAATTACATTTTTACCTATTTCCACAATTTGATCTTTTATAAATCCCCAACTACCGTATTTCCATCAGTACACGTCGCACTGCCCTATAAGTCACATCAGTCCAAATGTGTCTAATAAAGTGAAAAAATCCATAAATATGTTGCATCTATTATGCATCACCGCCGACGTGTCGCCGCTGAAAACCTGAAAACGTGGGCCGATGTTGTGACAAAAATCGATTGGTTGCCAAATGGCGGCCACGGGAGCATGACCGGGAGGACTTTAACAAGAATAACACTTAAAAACAATTATTTGTTTACTCGAAATTATAGTAAAGGCGTGTCTCAGTCTAACTTTTGTTTAATAGATGCACTTTGACGGTCAAATCAGCTGCATTTTCAAAACCCGATACGCAGAAACGTGAACACGCAGAGGGCGACTCGCTGTGCATTTCTGCGAAATTTAACAAGATAAGCACCTAAAAACAATTATTTGTTTGCTCGACTTTATAGTAAACGTGTGTCTCAGTTGAACTTTTACTTAATAAATGCATTTTAATGGTCAAATCAGCTGCATTTCGCCGGGGCGATGCAGCGAAATGAAGCTGATTCGGTTGCTCCAGGCAGACGACGATGGCGGACTATGGCAAGCCGATTGTGTCATTAATAACCACTTTTACCTGTTACATGATACAACAGCATGCCATACAACTCGACTGCCATCTAGTGGCTAAAAATGGTAGTATTCAATTTTTTCAGTCAGAATGAATGAAAATGGACATCTCAGCCAAAAATTGGTTTATAAATATGGGAACAAATCCATAAATACGTCGCTTTGCCCTTTAAGTCACAGGGCATGCAAATTATGCAAAAAAATGCAACTTATAGGCCAAAAAATATGTTAGTCCCCAACGGTTGCAGCCAAGTGAGATACTAGCCTGAGCTTTGTGGCAGTAACAAGAAAAACTAATTGCAAAAGAGAATCAGCACTCACAGCTTTCTTTGCCTGAGGGGCTCCCGGTTTGGCTCGGATTCTTCTTTTCTGAGGAACAAAAAGTCATTTAACACAATAAAGAGTAACAGAATATCCTGCAAACGCCCAGGGAAAACTTACTTGGGAGTTGTACTCTCTGTAAGCGTTTCGCTCTTGTGAAGATAAGCTCTGTGGACAGATCAAAGGGCGCGTTAGGGTAAGAAGGTTTCAGAGTAAACGTTTCTCAGCAGCAGCATCTTACAGCGAGCCACTGTTCCAGCAGAACTTTGTACTGCCTCTGCTTCTCCTCTGCGATCTTTCTGTAACGGTCCTTCTCTTTCTGCGGACACCTCTGCCACCGGCTGCCGATTTCAGTCATCCGCTCCTTCATGGGGAGGTGGTTCAGCTCCCCGTTGGACAGCATCTCCTGGGAGAACTTCTGATATCCGTTCCTGGTGGGTAAAACGTGAGAGATTGTTGCGAGTTTTAACAAATGATGTTAAAACAGACGACCTATAACTTACGATGGTGGTTTCTTGGGTTCTCCTTCAAACTTCATCTTCTTCATTGATACAACATTTGCAGCTGGAGAGCGCATCTCACACAGATCCCTCTGGTGAAGACAGATAAGCGAGTCAACCTAACCACTCCTGTAAACCAACGCTGCGGGTGAAACGAATGTTGCCTCTAACCTCGTATCTTTTCTGGTCCTCTGCTGCTTTTTTAATCCACATAATCTTCTCCTTTTTTTCCATGGAGCTCCAGACTATTTCCATCGCTTTCTGTGCTTTCGGGCGATCACTCTGCAGAAAACGGCCTCATATTAAACCATCGCTATAGAATTGCACAGCTCGTCTTGTGCAACTTTTGATTTTTAGCTACAATTCTCGACGTAACCTTTAGTTTGTATCTTTAAACATGAGTCGTGTGTACCTTAAACCTGGCCAGGTAGTCTCCGATGACGCTCTGCTGCCAGATCTCCTGAGCCGTCTTAGGCGGATCCGGCAAACGACTTCGATCCTCCCTCTCCTTCTTCTCCGACTCAGCTTTTAGCACCATTTCTAAACGCTTGTACTTCTCCTAAATGATGGAGACAAACCACAATAAAATGATTTAGTGTCATGACATTTCTTGAACAAAGTTAAACTGAGTTGGCGCGTTACCTTTTTCTTATCAGGTAGCTCGGTCCACATTCGTGCCAAGAATCTCATGAGCTCACTGTCGGAGAGGTCCGGCCGCTCCTGCTGCAGTTTGGGACGCTTCTCCTCCGCGAATATGAACATGGCAGAAATGGGCCTTTTGGGTTTCTCTGAACTGGCCTGCAAACGTCAGGTGGACGGTGACTTACGTTAGATGCACGGCAAAAAAAAGTGTACGTCATACAAGATGCTGTATGTATGTGGAACATCAGGCCTGAAGATCGTGACAAAAAAACATTTTAAACCGTTACGGTTTTCCCTTTCAGCCTTGCCTTCGTTTGAGCATTTTTCTTTTTAGAGGCGGAACTGCTGGCTCCACTGATCTTCTTAAAACCCGGCTTCTCTTCACCCAAAACTCGCTGCTGCTCCTCTTCTGATATGGTCTAAAAATGTCCACAACGTAAAGACGTTAAAAAATATATATAACTATAACAAAAAAATGGGGAAATGGTTATAAAATGCAAAAAATACTAAAACAACTTACACTGAGAAATTTGTTCATATCGATTTCATACTCCCTTTTCCTCTAAAGATTAAAAGACGACAAAACATTTTAGATCAAAGTGAGGGTTTCTAACCAGCTGTACGCGTGTGTGACAGCGACCTCACCTGCTCGCAGCGTTTCTGGTAGGCGTCCTTTTCATTCTGCTTCAGCAGCTTCCACCTCTGACTGCACATCACCATGCGCTCTGTGCTGGGAACGTCCTTCATGCTCGACATCAGCTCCGCGCAGAACATAGAATAACCGTTCCTGAAAGCGTTTGCACGTCGTCACTGAGTAACTCGTCCTGGATTGAAGATTGTCTAATTCAGCTGAGACTTACGGAGGAGGTTTGTCGGGCCGGCCGTCAGACTTGTCTTTAAGGTGCCGCTCCGCCTTGGTCAGGGTGGACTTCGCGAGATCTTGTGTCATGTTTAACTCGGGGTGCTGCTGGATGTATTCCCGCATTGCTTCCTGCAAACGTTCAACACTGATAAAAGCGCTCGTGCAGACAAAACGTTGTCATCAGAGTAACTAAAACCGTTCTTACCTTGTACAGTTTCTGCTGTTCGAGGGACTTGGCGATCCATTTGAGCCTCTTTTTGTCAGACAGCTGTGTCCACTGTTTACCAAGACTGTCCTTAATGTCTTTGGTGGTGGCCTGGATTCAGACAGAAACAGTCAACATGAGAATAAGAGCTAAAGAACGTTGCTGAAACTTCAATTTGCTGATGTGCATGAAGCTGAATTTATTTATTTTATTTGACCTATATTTAACCAGGGTAGTCAGTTAAGAATAAATTATCATTTACAAAGACAATCTGGCCAATAAATAGTGAAACAAGAAAAAAGTTCAAAACAAAAGCTAGAAAGACCAGAAGGCCGAAAAAAAAAGTAGCTGAACTGTTGCTAAAAGCTAAAAAAAAAAAAAGAATACTCAGTTAAAGTAGTAAAATGTTAGCTAAAAGGAAGAAAGAAGGAGATAAAAGTAGTAAGAGGAAAACTAGAATCTAAAAGCAGGGCAGTAGCTAAAAGTAAAAAAAAAAAAAAGGCTAAATGTTTCTCAAAGCAAAAAGTAGAAAAGTTAGCTAAAAGTAGCATAAAAAGACAAAACATGAAGTATAGTGAAGCTGATTTTAGGCCTGTCACAAAACAAATTTTGCTGGGCGATTAATTGTCTCAGAAATTATTGCGATAAAGAATAATATTGTTTGAAATTTTAATATAATTAGTAATTATTGTCAAATTTAAGAAGAAATGTTGGTTAATTTGTTTTGAGTGTAGTGCCTTTTTTTACCACTGGGTGGCAGTATAAGACTGTCTGAACCGAAGGATGGATAGTGAGGGAGCGAGCAGCGTGTCTCTAAGAAAAATGGGAGGGAGGCCCATTGACGTGACATGGGCTGTCTCTCTTTGATTCTCAAAATGGCGGAAGCTCGGTGTAGTTTGAGCTCTTTAGCATTTTTCACACAAAGCTTTTAATAAAAAAAATCAGTAAACAAGTTCTCAGCTTCTTTTTGCAGAGAACAACTTTTTACATGAAGGCACGGGTTTCGACCGTGAATTTTGGAGCTTCGACAAGACGGAGGTTCCCCCTCCCCACGAGGTCGGCCTGTTAGCTTAGCTCGTAGCTTAGCTGCTTTTAACGATCCAAAAACACGATTTTGGACGGTTAAAACAGATTTTATAGAGAAAAGAGAGGGGTCAGTGACGAGCACCGGAGGTGAGTCTTATCATCCAGTGTCTTCAGTAGAAAGAGAGAATGAAGAAACGATAAAGCCGATAAATGAAAATGAGGTCGATAATTTTCATTTATCATGCGATTAATTGGTTTATCGTTTATCGCGACAGGCCTAGCTGATTTCAATGAAAACTATGTTTTGAAGGAACTGGAGCTCTTAATGTATTTTAATTGAAATCTTATTTCAAATTAAAAGGCAAATATGTTCAAAAGTAAAAACACATAAAAGTCACAACGCACTATCTCCAGTCAGGCTGAATGTTTTGATAAAAAAGTAGTGTGGAGCTTCATGGCAAAAAAATAAAAAAAGTACAGAATTATAAAACAGGAAAGGATCATTTTCAAAACTGAGCATTTTAAGTAATCTGCAATGAGCTTACATCTGGGTGCGACTTGAGGACGGCCTTCTTTTCATGGTTGTACCACAGCTGTTGGGGCGTCTTGGGCTTTTCTGGGACGTTTGAACCTTTCTTGGTCATGCTCTCCATCAGGTCCGGATGTTCTTCTCTGGTTACACACCACACAGCAACGTTTGGACTCGGGTTTTCATCCTAACATTTCTGAACGTTATAAACCACAACACTTCGATGAACTTACCTGAACCTCATCATGCTCTGTACAAACGATTCCTTGTCACGCAGGAAGTCATCAACATATTTTTTCTGTCATGACAAGAAAAACATTTTCTTTAAATTGCACCCAAAAAAATATATATATATATTTTTTTTGTCTTAAAAGTCTTTGTTTTCTGACTGACCTTCTTTTTGTCGGGCAGCTCCCTGTACTTCTTGGACAGTATTTTAGTGAGATCCAAGTTGCTCATCTCAGGGTGCAACTTTGCATATTTGGCTCTTTTTTCCATGAAGAAGCGGAAATATGGAGTCAAAGGCTTCTTGGGGAAGTCTGGATGCTTCTGGTTTTAAAGAGGAGTAAAAAAACACTTTAATAATCCTAAGCTTCAATCGCAAATCTAGCACTTATTGTAAATTCTGAATCCAACCAACCTTTAGTTTTTTGCCTTTATAAGGGTTTTTAATGTAGTCTTGAGCGTCAAAGATCAACTCCGTCAGCGTTCTGAATTTACGAATCTTTGTGGCAGAAGAAGAAAAAAAACTCATTGAAGAACTCATCGTGTGTATGTACAAGTATTTATTTGTTAATTGTTAGGCTTCTTGATCTGGGACCAGAGTCTGAATTTCACACCACAAACATGCAAATGTGAGCTGGTATGACTGTTTAAAAAAATCCTTGCTTTGAGCTTCTCCGTATTTGTGTGAACAGGTTTGTTATAAAAACCATCACCACCTGAAGTGTCTCACCTCTTTAGAGACTTCCTGCCATTTCTGCTTACACATCTCTGCTGTGTAGGAGTTGAAGGCCACCTTCTGCCAGTCCAGGTGGGACTCTGATGTTTTGTATTTTGTCAGGTCTTTCTGCGGCAGAGCCACTTTCATGGCTTCCAGCAGTTTTAGGAGGTCGTCCTGCGCCCACACTGAGAGGAAATGACAAGAGGACAAAATATAAATCAAAAATATGGTAATCTCTTCTTTTGGCTGCTCCCTTCTTCAGGGGTCGCCACAGCGAACTAACTCGCACGAAGACTTGGCGACTGTTTTTACGCTGGATGCCCTTCCTGACAAAACCACAGACCTCCGAGCTACCACAGCCCTCTGCGTGGAGCAGATGGTAGGGGTTAAGTGCCTTGCTCAAGGGTCCAGAGTGGGGTAAATGAGGGTGGGAGCAGGTGTGGGTGTTTAACCATTCCCACCCACATTTTGATGTCAGTCTGGGGAGTTGAACCGGCAACCTTCAGATCATAGGCCCACTTTTCCTAACCTCTGCACCACCACTCCCCCATCTGGGTAATCTGCACTCTTTTTTTTTTATTGCCTAAATGTTTACGTCTCTTTTCATGCTCAAATTATAGATCAGCTGTTGATGGGAAATTTCATTTACAGCTGTTTTGGTCAAAATGTCACAAGAAGTCACGCTCAGACAGAGACGACTCCAAATAGTTAATGATGATTTTTTTTTTTTTTTGTCTGTTAGGCCTTAAGACTTCAAGTACTTCGGGTCAACTATCCAAGAAAACGAGTGGAGAAGAGGTGAAGAAGAGAGTCCAGGCAGGGTAAAGTTCCAATAGTGGTCAGCAAAAGGTTAAATGAAAGATTTACAAGTGAGTAGAGAGAACAGCTATGTTGTAGTTTGAAGACAGGAAAGAACTGGGAGTAGCAGACGTGAAGATGTTGAGGTTCTCCTGAGGAGTGACAAGGATGGAGAAGATTAGGAATGAGCTCATCAGAGGTACAGCACAGGTTGAACAACTGGGAGATAAAGTGAGAGAGACCAGACTGAGATGGTTTGGACATGTCCAGAGGAGGGACAGTGGTTTGGACATGTCCAGAGGAGGGAGCGTGGGTATTTTGGTAGGATGTTAGAAATGCAGCTGCCAGGATGAAGACAAAGAGGAGATACTGGTATATGGATGCAGTTGGAGAGGACATGGGGGTCGTTGGAGTGAGGACACTGGACCCTACTCACCCAGCACACACACTTTTTGCCCCGCTCCCCTCAGGAAGGAGGTTGAGGAGCATTAAGTGTAGAACCACTAGACTGAGGAACAGCTTCTACCCTGAGGATGTTAGACTCATGAATCTCTAACCAGGATAATCAGTGAAAAATCACATGTTGCTGCTGATCTGTTTCATGTTGCTGCTGATCTGTTTCATGTTGCTGCTGATCCATTTCATGTTGCCGTGTTCACACGTGCACATCCGCTCACACAGACTCATGTTCGTGCTGCTGTTCGACGTAATGCTTTTATGCTACTAGTGCTTGGTGTATTTTTTGTTGTTTTTCTTAGTTCATATTTTAGATGTTATCATGGTTTTTCTTTTACATTTTATTGTTGGATAACTGGGACCCCGTGTACATAATTTCGTTCCACCACACGTGGTGCAGACGACAATAAAGAACGTCTGACTCTGACAGTGAGATGGAGGAGGACTTGCTGTGGAGACCTCCAAAGAGCAGAAAGGAGTTTAGACAGAATGTGTGCTGGGGATCAGTCTCTGCTAGCACACCAAAGTTATCCTCCAAATTTGTAACATTATATAAGTTATTTTATTTTTTTCCAAGTCCAGTTGGCAGTAGCTGCCATTGGACTTGTATATTGTAAATAAATTGTAGATTGGTGTTTCATGAGACGTTTTGATAAAAGAAGGAACGTTCGTTCGCCTTTCAGCGCTCAATCGTGTATCAATGTTAGGATTGTGCATTTTTTTTTGTAAAGTCCAACCTTTATTTATACAGGTTAGTCTCCTTGAGTCTCGAGAACCTGAGGAAAGTGTTTATTTTCAAATGAAAAGTACCTTGGTCTTGGGTCGCAACCTCCATTTCTCCATTCATTTATGACTACACGGTCTTGGATCTAAAAAAAAAAAAAAGGAGGGGGGAGAGAAAGTGAACAAGTTTACTACTTCACTCAGTTACTTATTACTTTATTTGTTAAATATATATATAAATCGTTTCATTAGGAGTTTTTAATTGCGTTCCTGAAAAAGGAGATTGAAGCGGTGATTGTGCGTCGACATAATGCTTCATGTTCATTACACCGCCCCTAAAACGTTTACGCTGCATGGTGAGACATAGAGCTTGTGACGGCTTCAAATCTCAAATAACACTGCAGAGGGCTTCAACTAAGACAACACGAGCCTCCGCCGAGCTTCTCTTCCCTCCTTCTTCTCCTTCCAGACGGAATGTGGAGAATTAGTGCCGCGCTTGTACCGCGGACGCACCGCAGCGACCATTTTCTCGCTCGGTCAGCTCGGTAATGGAGGACTTCTTGTGTCGGGAGCGGTTGGGGAGGATCCGCGGGAGGAGGAAGCGAATGGACGTGGACCGTCAGGCAGCTGTAGGCGACCAGCTGACTACGCCGAGCGGACAGGGGGGGATCTGCTTTCGGTCTCCAGATAGGCAGGAATGGCAGCTCGGAAGCAATGCGGCCAAATGCGCCACTCGGAAGAGACGCCTCATCACCGTTTGGACGCGGATCTAGCTCCGCCACGCACAGCCATTTTTTTTTCTAGTCTTTTCCGCCGGCGTCAACCGAACACTGGAGGCGGTGGCAAAAGCATAATAACCGCTCAAATTAAGTTTTATTTTAATCAACTCACACGACACTTTGGTCGAGTTTTAGCCATTACGTGGCGGATTTCGGCAGCGAAACCGAGAGCATTCTTCAGCGAGGCGTAGCCGAGCTGTGCTTCCATGATGGCGGATGCCTGTTGTTCGTCCTGTCCTTGATGGCTCGAGCTCAACCGTCTGAACCAACGGTTTAAAAACAACAACAAAAAAAAATTAAATTTCCACTTTTCGTTTAATTCAGGATGGTTTAGAAACGCAAACACTAAAACCCGAACATCGAATAAAGCGATTTATTGCAAAAAATAACACAAATGTTTAAAAATAGATTAATCAGCTCCGCACGAGCTACTGGGGCAAGCTAGCATGAGGTAAATGGGCTAAAGATCGGGACTCTTTATAGATTTAGATTAAAAAGTAAGTTTTTTGAATTAAATAATCACATTGGATTCTTTTACATTACACAGATGTTTACAAAACACAATTCGGCTACTGTTCTAATCGTCATTTTTACTTTAAAAAGTGGTAAAAAAAAAAAAACGAGTCGAAAATATGGGTTAAAATCATTTGCGGAGGCACAGAAACAAAAAAAAAATAAAACATTTTTAATGGTTAAACGTTGACCTCATTCTAGTTTAGCTAAATTTAACGTTTATTCCTGGTTTCGGGCATTATTATAAGGCTCCAAATTAGTTGGTGAAGTCCCCGCAAAAAAATGGAGTGAAAAAGCCCGAGGCTGAGCAGCAGCAGCTCCGGGTCCGCCGCCATGCTTCAGCCCGACGAGCAAACCTACCGTGACCAGGTCCAATGGCGCACTGCAAAGACTGAAAACGGAGCCGAGAGCCACCACCAGGGCGTTGCAGACTCCCCTTCCCTTACATCCAAAAAGCGCATAAGCGAGGACGGAAAGGCGGGTTCTCCGAGCTTCGGTTGTTGTCGGCGGTTCTGGGCTAGTCAGAGAGAGAGAGGGGGAGAGGGGAGGGCGGTGAGATATTAAACCGAGATCCCTGATGGCTGACCGAGAGGCGGCTAGCTGTTCCGCGAACAGCCGCATGGAGGTCTCGGCGCGGAAACCACCGTTTGTTTCCCTCCCACACGCGGTTACACAATAAACTCGAGACCTTGCATTAAATGGGATGTATTAAGATGGTCGCTGGACACGATTTTAGGCAACAACCCTCCGGGTCTTACGTCAAGATTCTTCCCCGCTGTTAAGGAACAGAAATTCGGGTATGGCCGACCTTCCTCAGCGGTCGGTTTGTTCCGCCACTACAAAGAGCCTGACCGAGCGAGGGGCTTTTGAAAGTAAAAAAAAAAAAAACACCTAAATGTTTATTTGTGTACTTGAACTCGCTTTCGATGTATTTTTTTTAACGTAAACCCCGACGTTTAGCTGCTAGCTTACCTACCTGTGTCGGCGCGAGCCTCGGCGTCGCGCGGTGGAGGAAGAAGGGGAGGGTTGAACGACAGCCAGCTCTGCGCCGTCGGTCCCGGCCTCCAGTCCCCGCAGAGATGGTCCTTCCCCCCCGCCTCCATCTCACTCGCCGTCTCCCTCCACGCAGCAGCAGCTCTCTCCTCTCCATCCAAACATTTCTCCTCACAGATCCGGAGTTTTTTTTTTTTTTTGTTTGTTTTTTTTTCCGAGCGGGTTTTGAATACAACCGGTTTCTCCTTCCCTCCGAGGCCGACACTGTCACGTCTCTAGCCCGGAATGTTTTGTGAAAACTCCCTAGTTTCGTGAATTCGTTGCGCTGTTTGTATCATTTAATTTTATATATCGATTATATTTAGTTTTATAACTTTCACCGGTCAGTGACGAGTTGTAATTGTAGTGACCGTGTGTGTTTTTTCTTCAAACTCCATTACCAGAAGTTTTTTCGGTTCTTTGACGGCGTCATTTTGGGCCCACCATGTTTTTTATTTTATTTCAACTCCACCTTGCCCGAGTGTTTGTGGGCGGAGCCTCCGGACGTCCAATCGAGTCGATTCAATTCAGGAACAACAAACACAGTTTTGTTAGGCCATGCGGTGTTCACGTACTGTAGGAAAAATGTGTATCCACGCTTTAAACATGCCAACATTAGAATCAGTTTGACAAACTGGTCAGAAAGCACCCAGATTTTTTTTTACTGGTACCAAATAATGTAGAATCCTACAGGTTCTACTTCTTTACCTTCTTTGTCTCTATAATATCACATTCACGTGACTTTTTCTGTCAAAAAATGTTGTTTTTTATCAGTATGCTGCCTTTTCCTTAGATGCTCTTTTTTTAAGTGCCAACCTGAAATTAAACAACAAAATCTTGTAAATGCTGGGGTTTGAATAAACTTATAATAAAGTTGAATGTATTTTTTTTATGTGCAAATTTCATAACGAGATACGATTTTCTGTACAAACACATTTGTATGGATCAAATACTGTTTGTGGTATTGGCATAAATTAATCTGAGAACAAATATTTTTATTTTATCTTGTTTTAAGCATCTTGTTTAAAAAGTTACTTTGTTTTGGGGGGGGGGGGGCTGTGATTTACAATTTTTAGTATTCTACACCGCATTACAATCTAGCTGTTTTGTCTCTACTTTTCCTTTTAATTATCCTTTTGTCATTTTATTTTCATTTGTAAAAAATAATAATAATAGTATGCATCCTTTATGATTGTCTTGTTGTCGTTGTTGTCCACTGTTGTCATCGCTCTTTGTTAAAATTCAGGTCTCTCTTGTAAATGAGTCCCCGAGGCTCAACGGGACTAACCTGTATAAATAAATGTTGAATGATCATGATGTCCCTGAAGGCATCATGACTCTTAGCACCTTTTATCCCCAAGAATATAAAAATATCTCACCATGTGTATATATTTATTTCGTTTAAAATGAGCATTTTAAAGGCAGTTTTTATTTTATTTTTAATAAATCGAAAGCATGTACAGTGTTTCAAGCGCACAAATCTTTTTAGGCAAAAACAAAATGCACAATATGTAATTTACAAGAAATGCTCCCTGATGTCACCAGTGCAACAATAAACTCGAATATTAAAATTAATCTCATCACTGGCCAGTTACTGCACAATGCATTTTGTCCCAATAAAAGCTATAACACACTAAAATAAAATATACGTTCATACACATCAGGTAACACAAAAGACAACAAATTCATTGAAGCAAACTTAAGACACAAGTTAAAACTCCCCACAAAAGTTTTTTTGTACTGTTATAAATAGCATAACTCTTGCATATCTAAAACATGATTGTGATCACCTAAAAGTCATATTGTTGGATATTGAAAGAAAAAAACATAAATATATATAAATATGTCTTGTATTTTAGGTAAAAAGGGCCTAGTCTTAAATAAAAAATACAATTTTATATGAAAGCCATTGATTATATTTATGTCAAAACAGATTTTGTAGATTTATCCTGGTTGTGTAGTTAAAAACATTAATCTACAGAGGAATTGGTGTGAATAATGGCACTGAAAGGTAAAATAAAAAACAACAGTTGAAAATTACAAAAGAAGTTATTTTATGTTAAAGTTTGTGTTTATGCCAAGCCATCGTCGACGGGTTCATCATCAAATTTCACTTTAGCATCATCCGCATCCAGCTGCAACACAAACACATTCTCTTACAACAGAGAACTACACACGTGAAATTAGACAATAATATGTGAACGGAGACGTTACGTACACATTTCATCTCCTTGCTGGTGAAGATCCGGCCGGTCATGAACATTCGCAGAGGGATGGTGAGGATCAGGAAGAAAGGAAGAGCCAGAGAGAAGGGGCTTTGCTTCACCGCCCACAGGATGGCCAGACACAGAACCTGAACTAAAGTGAACAGGTGCATCTTCAGTGTCCTCACCTGCACAGACCGGACGGGATGGAAAGTTTAAAATCCAAACACAAGATTCAACACAGACAACAAAAGCACAGGTCTGGAGACTTTAGGAGTTTTTGCTTTCAGCCAAAAGTCAGTTCAATAAAACTCGTATAAAGAAACACAAATTAGTTACAAACAGACATCAAGGGAAGCAAAAACACACAATACAGTTAGAAATATGTAAATCAAACATAAAAACTCAATTTAAAACATAATTTTACTACATTTTCTAAAGAAACTCATTTTAAAACGTGCCACAAAAAACTCAAATGTCAATGTCTAAAATGTCAACACTAAATGATTTAGCTAAAATTTGCTGAAACTGCATGTTTGAAGCTTAAGGAAGCAGAACATTTGCTTAAAGCCTAAAGTAGCAAAAGACGAGCTAAAAGTTGATAATTGCTATCTAAAAGTAGCAAAATGATGGCAAAAATTAGCAGAAATATATCTAAAATTAGCAACAGGCTAGCTAAAACTTTAAAATTTGTAGCAAAAACTAGCATAATGCTTGTTAAAATTATCTAAATCTGTACAATAGTAGAAAAAAATTGCCAAAAAGCAACAGGTTAGCTAAATGTAGCAAAATGCAAGGTAAAATTTGTTAAATAAAATTAGCTAATGTAGCAATGTTTTGCTAAAAGTAGCAAAATGCTAGCTAAAGGTTGCAAAAGGCTGGATAATAGTAGCAAATTCTAGCCCAATAAGTCACAAAGGTCTAGCTTAAAATAATATAAGGCTAACTTTAATGTTGATGTTTGTCTGTCTCTGTCCTGTTCTCTCTAAGCCCAGCCAATTGAGAAAAATGGCTGCCCATCCTGAGCCCAGTTTTGGTTCTGGAGGTTTCTTCCTGTTAAAAGGGACTCGTTTATTTCCACTGTCGCCAAAGTGCTGCTCAGGATGGGAGTCGAAGTGACAATTCAACGCAGCCGGCTGGTTTTCTTAAGATGTAAAAAGTTTATAAAATGGCATTTTGTAATAATATATGGAATTTATTTTATTTCTACAGTGCGCTGGATGAATTTTGTTGAATGAATCAACACTTTATAAATAAACAGAATTTAGTTGAATTAAAACCGAAAAGTATCAGAATGGTAGCAGAGAAAAAAGCTGAGCAGGACGACAAAAATATGTTTGGAAAGTAAAACATGTAAAATATTTGTAAATAAAATGGGATAAAAAGTGTAAAAGTTAAGTATACCCCCCTGCTCCATAATGAGCTGAATGATAAATAAATGGCTTAAAGGCACAAAGAATACAGAAGTAGTTGTGAATCAGCGTTTGTCCTACAAGAGTAAAGATATTTTAAGCAGGACTGATACCCTGGTAGCGTAAGCATCAGATGGATGGTATTTCTTTGGAGTAAAGAGCAGAAGCATCCTGTCCCACATCTGGACTCCACTGAGAGAGGTGATACCCATATAGAGGAAGATGCCAAACAAGGCCGTCATGGGAATCATCTTCAGAATGGGCTCCATGAAAATTGAAACACCTAAAAGTCAGAAAGATTGTCGTCAAAGAGGAATTAATTGTTCAGAACATGCTGCGACTGCTTCAGCACTGCAGATGAGAGCACCTACCAACCATCACGGCCACAATTAGACCACTGATCCTCTGCTCAACCACCTTCTCTATCTCTGGTTTGGGGCCTTTGGTCATGACGGTAAGGGCGTTGGCGTGAGTGACGGAGCGCACAGTGGCAGCACTCAGCCAGGGCACGCCAAAGATGGAGGAGATACCCCCCACGGTGACCAACAGGAGCAGATCAAAGTGAAAACCAGATCCTTTCACCATTTTCCTCTCAGGTTTGCTCACAATCAATCTGGAACCCACAAAAATATAAAATAAAAACTGGTAAATTGTGTTTATATTTCTCACAAAGGAGTCTTTAAAGGAAGTAGAGAGACGGGATAATATAAAGCCAACTCACGTAGTGATCTGGGATTCCATGAAGATGAGGATGAAGACGAGCAGAGCAGGGACGCAGCAGGCGCCCATCATCCAAATAGGGAAAGGCTTTTTCTCTCCCATGGGGTTGATCAACCAGCCTCTTTCTCTGGGGTTGGTCACTTCAACACCTTTTGGCACGACTAGTTTCTATAAGAAGACCATGATTCATTAAGACACAATCAAAGGCAGAACAATGGTGTCTGATGTGGTTTGGATTTCTATTTGTGCTCATATAATTGTTGTTTTCATTTAAACGGAATGGCAGAAACATATGTAGCCCATTTTGTACTGTGCTATATAGTCATACTAAATTCATAGTTATATCATTTGAGTTTTAAAACAATATCTAAGTGATAAAAGTGGAATAAATTTGTAAGATAAAAACTTTGTTGTCATCTAGAAGTGTATCATTTTAAAAACAGTTCATATTTGGTCAAGAAAATCTAGTTTAAGCAGACTGAAAACAGGCAGTTGTCATTTTTTCTACGTTCCTTGAATGTTACATAAAAGTTTGTTTAAGGGGCACATGTGTGCCATGAGGCAGGTTACAACCTACTCTTTGAGTTGTGCTAAGTGTCAATCTTGTTCAGTTTTGTTTTGTATTGGATTAAGCATTTTATTTTGCCCAATCAGATGGGAATGGGTGGGGTTAATGGTACGCTGCATGAAATGTGGTTCAGTGTGAAGGGCAGACAAGTTCAGAGAGCAGCGACGCAGACGTGGGACAATAACAGAGTAAATCTTTCCATTACAACGGTCAATGCAGAGTTGCCGACTGTAACGGACTTTAAGAAGCATATGAAAGTGGTCCAAGAGCTAATCTTTGGAGAAGTTCCCCATTCAGCCGTTTGGATTCCCACCTGTGAGGTTGCTGCCAGGAAGGATCTCGGTGTTCGTGTGACATCACCTAGCATAGCATCTATAGCTGTACCCTTTCCTGATCCAATCTCAAAACTTTGTTTTGTTTTGTGAGTACAAAACTAAACCAATGCACGTGCTTTTTATTTGATTTGTTCAGTGAGCGAACGAGCTGTTTGTTTTTAGCTCCCACGCACCCAAGCATTGATTCAGGCCTGCAACGGGTTATTTTGGGGTTGAGTTTTATGTATGAAAAGCCTTAGCTTTTTTTTGTTTTGTTGTTGTTATTTAAAAACATTGTTATGTTTTATTTTATGTGTGAAGCAAATTAAATTCTTAGTGGGTTAAACAAAGCGTAAACTCATAATTCCCTTAAGTGGAGGCACCGCCATTAAATTAATTATAAACAGTAAGTTGCATCTTCTGAAAGCAGTGGTGTAGTCTACATTTTTGTAGTGCTTAGAAACCAAAGTGCACTGCTTAATACAATGTAATTGTCAATTTATTTGGAATTTTAAGCATATTGAATATTTCCAAATTTCTCTGACGCTTATATTTGAATAAATGAATAACAAACTTTGTAGAACAGTTGGCTTTGTATAAAAAAAACATGTTATATAATTTATAAAACAGCATCAAAGCAAAGCGCTGCATACAGATAGATTGTTACGGACACATGCCTAATGATATGGCCTGTATCATTGGGCACTTTTAAGTGTGTATACTGAAGTTCTTAAGCTTTTCTAGTGGGTATACTCCGTATACCCGAGTATCAGGTAGACTACACCATTGCGAAAGCTGTTAGTACGGCTGTCTTTAAAATAACGTTCCCAGGGCCCCGACCAATGTATTACTTTTCAACCTAATCTATTGATTAATTCTTTAGCTACTTGATACGGGCGCTACACATATTTTAGGTAGATTTACAATTTGGTGGTGGTCATCATCAACCACCAGCCATGTGTTACTAATTACAAACAGGAGGAGCATATTTTAGATAACAATTCACCTTTTTCACAACACATACCTGAGTGTAGGCATCCTCAATGCTGATATCCACAGCGATCATGAAGAAGATAGCAATGGGCACGCCGAAATCACCGATCAAACGACGAATCTTAACAGGCAGAGCAGAAATTCATTGCAATCAAAGTCGCATTAAATAACTTTAAAAAAAAACCAACTTATATTATCTTGAAGCTTGTTTAAAAGCTGATCTTACTGGGCCGGGGAGGAAGGTACCAGTTTTGAACTGACGGAGGAAGTACGCAATGAAGAAGCAGCCAAACATCAGGCACATGGACAGCAGGGCGGTGTTCGGGTAGGCCCTTTCAATCTCCAGCTCTTTAACGGTCGTGTTTCCGTCCGGATGGATCTCAATGTGCTCCTTAATGACTGGGTGGAAGGGGTTGTCCAGCGTGTCGTTCAGATGCTCGTAGTTCAGGATCAGAGGATGGGTTTTGAAGATCTGACGAAGGAGAAGGATGTGAGTGAACTGCAGCTGAGTTGAGGTCTCTGAGACGGATGGAGGAATGATGTGTGGAAACCTTTATGAGTTTTGCGAATGTCTCGTAGATGAAAATGAGCGAGATGAGGATGGAGAAGATTTCTTGGGTGAAGCGGGAAATGAATCGAACCAAGAAACTTCCTTCCACCGCCACGACGACGACTACAATCATGACCAGCCATATACCCACCCAGATCCGGCCCACAATGTACTCCAGACCCTGGGCCTTGCAGAACTAATATTGAAAGAGCAAAAGAGAAAGGACTTATTTAGGAAAATTGTATTTTTTAAGACTTAATTTCAGGTTTCTTGTACATACAGCAAAAAAAGCCTCTTCGAAGAGCAGCAGCGGTCCAGAGAAGCCGATGACGAGGACCGGTTGGGCGGCGAAGAAACAGAAGATGACACCCTGGACGCAGGTGGCGATCATAAGCTCGGACACACCCATCATTTTATCTGTTTTGTCAGCTAGGCGAGAACCGGAGAGAATCATTATGAGCTTCAGTTTTCAACGTACAGAGAAATCAGACCAGCTTGGACTTTGCTTTACCCAGAAGTCCTCCAAAAGTGATGGCAGGGGACAGGGCAGCGAAGTAGATGAAGATGATGGCTGAGAGGACCTGAGGGTTCAGAGCATCTGTGTAGTCGCTGAGGTAGTGACGGTAACGACGCTTGATGTCTTTCACCATTCCACCGAAAGGATAGCCTGTGCGGGCCAGAGGGTCCTCCTTGGGTTCCTCTGGACCTGTGTCTGAAAGGCAAGAAAACAAAAAACTGTTCACCAAATGACTGATGACGCAAAACGTGTTTGTGAATAGTAAATTACATTTAAACCGTTAGTATCTGCTGTAGTTCCAGTAAGGGGTGCTGACCTTCAACCCTGTCTCCAAAAGCAAGTCGGGTGTCAATGGGACGAAGTCGGTCACACAACATCTTCTTCTGGAAGGCGATGATGGGCTCCATCATGGCTATGTCTTGGATCTCAGTGGGAGGAATCACGACGCTGCAGTCCATGAAGTCTGCAACTGCGTTGGTCAGGTCTTTTTCAGTCTGGGCCAGGTAAGCTTCCAAACAGAACACCTTAAGGAGGGAGGGGAGGACAAGAAACTGTCATGTACCTGCACCAGTTTAATGCAGTGGGACTCCACTCCCCTCTTCGCATCTCCTACCCAGTCGGCCATCAGAGCAGCCATGGCACGTCCAATCTGACTGTAGTCTAACCCACTCTGGCTTGGTCCCACCATCATAAGGACGAAGCGAACAGGAACAGAAGACTGCAGAATGGACTCCATCACCACAGAGTCGGTCAGCCGGACAAAAGCAAGCACGGGCTTCTGCAGGAGGTCAAAGATGCCTGCAGGACACAAACTTTTAGCCAAAACTGCATCCAAAGACTAAAAGCTGCATCTAAAAATCATACCTGTGAGGACGATTGAAGCCTCCACATTGTCTGAACACTCTCTCTGCAGAAAACGCAAGAACAAACATCATAAATGTGATCTATGTAATGTCCATACAAAGGTACTACAGGTTGACGGTAATCACCTTCTTTGCAACGGAAAAAGTTTGCATTTGAATGTCTCCAGACTGAGTAACCGCTGGTCCTTCAGACTGACTGAAATGAGTGAAAAGTGCATGTCCTTAAAACAGAGAGACTTTATTTTCCAGCAGAAGAAACAGAAACATTTACCCCTATGGGGTTACCTGCGCCTCATTAGGAGAGCTCTCAGCAGGGCGTCTCGATCATTGGAGCGGATTTCGTTCCTGCTGAGCAGCTCGTCAACCATCCTCTCCGCCACGGAGGACAGAGTGCTGGCAGCGACGTCAAAAATGATTGCACCTGAGCACGGAGGGTTGAGGGTTACTCCAGGAAAGCTATGGTTTGTCCACATACAAATGGATGTTTTGTTTCAATCACCTGTGCTCATGGCTCTGCGGACTTGAAGCAAACTCCTAAAGGTGAGGTAGGAGACATGAGAAGGGCCCCACTTTCTCGTAGCAGAGTCCAAGTTCTCTTCGTAGCCCACCCATCGCCCAGTCTCCTGCCAGATGTTGCCCTGGAGCTCGTTCAGCTCCACGTAGGCCTGCGGTCATGGAATATGGTTAAGAAACCTCCTAGCAACCCAACATATGAGTGTTTTTAACATTTCATTTGAAGGAGCAGACTGACTTGAGCATCTCCTCTCGTGGTGGCGTTGGTGTTCAGGTTCAGAAAAGCTGGAACACAGAAAGCGAGTAGTGATTATTTGCAAACATATAAAGAAAAATCATTTTTAAACAAAATCTACAAACACTAAGAATATCTCACCGTCTGAATCACTGGGAATGATGATGGCTTCAGGGAGAGGCGCGTCCTCCTCTGTCCTCTGGGGTTCAAAGGTACCATTCTGACCCGATGAAGTTCTGTAGAAACAGAACATCGAAGAAGGAAAGGCATGAGTGTATAAAGCACCCTTCAGTGTTGCTATTTGAAAAATGATGCAGCTCAATCACTATGATTGTAAACGTGGATCGTGACTATTCTCCACTTGGCCACCAGATGGCAGCAGCACACACCTTAGTCATCAGCAGTTATCTGCTTCAGGATCCTGAATGTGGTTCATTCATAAAGACACTTTCAAACACGTGCTCTAACCGTGCAATTTGCTTCCTGCAAAGTCTAATTTGCATTTAATTGCTGATTGTAAAAAAAATATATTTGCTACAGAAAATATCTGCATTTTTCCTCAGTTTCCAATTTTCATGCTGTTTTCATCTAATTTGTATCGTCACACCCAAGCTTTTCAGCAGAGCACCTCAAAGTGTCTTTGGAATAGTGTTTTTGAATAAACATTTTATAACTTGAGCCGTGACAAATGATGCGCTCATTCATGGTCACCATCCTTTTTTTTTTTTAAATGTTCTGCTCAATCAGCATAGAGTGCTGTGACTTTTAATTCTGAGTAATAATAATAATAATTTAACAAAATTTTCCCCTCAAAAATGTGAGATCGCTTCAGTTCCTTCAAAAACTTTCTCAGAGATCTACTGCGGCCAACTTGCTCTGTTTGTGTCTTCTTATGTAGTGTTTAGCTATAGTTTTGCTAATTTAAGCTTCTAGCTAAAATGTATCCAATTTTAGTTTTTAGGCATGATTTAGCTCCCTTTAGCTTTCAGGTACTGTTGCTAATTTTAGCACTTTAAAGGTAAAAACAGCTTTTATCTCCTAATTCCTTATCATTTACAGACTTTTTTTTTAACTCTTCTTTAGCTATTGTGTGGCTGACTATAAATATATATGTCTGTTTAGCTGCTGCATGTTACAATATGTGCATGTGTGGTAGTTTGTGTGTTTCTGTTTACTACAGCTGAGAACAGCAGCTGGAAATAGATCAAAACATCTGGAGAATGATATCTTCTGCATTACAGACTGGCTACATTACACATTGTTTAAAATGATAAGAGCGATGTCTTGAACTTTCGGCGCCGATAGCCACTCAGGTTCAATGTGGCTCAAGAAATAGCCATTATCTTATCAGGAAAAAAGCGGGCAGAAATTCACTTGCGAAGGCAGAAAACGGAGATGAGGGAGAGACTTACAGCCGGAGAGGAGAGGGAAAGGCTGGCTCGTTATCTTCGCAGGACACGTCGCTGCCCTGCGTTGGAAAAAAAGAAGAAGAAAGGTTGAAGCTGTTTGATGAAAATGAGCTGAAGAAAATTGTGTTTTTCTCCAACTAATCAAGATTTCAAATTAAACCAACCTCCTCGTAACTGAAGTTCTCCATGGGTGCTGGTGTTTTTGTCTCAACTTGGATTCCCTGAACAGCAAATGAAAGGAACCAGCACACAGAGAGTGAAATAACTCTATAAGACGTGTCAAAGTCTTTTCTTATCCTCTCAGAATCAACAAAGATTAAAACCTTTCATGGAGGGAAGTACAGAACTCCCAGATTTCATCAGTAAGGACAGAAAAGGCCTCACTGTGAGGCCGTCAAACCAGGGAGTTATTATTGTGGTTAAAGGGGAAGAAATCCTTCTCCAACTGGCTCTTGATAAGACCTATTTTGAGCCTTTTTGCAGACAGTTTTGATAAAAACACCACCATCATATGTTGCGCTCTGAAACTGTCTGCAGAGCTGCAGCTCGGGTCAGATAATCGATCAGCCGTTGACCGTTCGAAGCACGATAGAGTTTAAATAGACGACTTCAGAAGCTTATCTTTGGGTTACACCCTTCACTCATCTGGTCTTCTGAGAGACAAGACAGCAAAAAGTTCAAATGGTTTCTGTAGCGCCAAGTTATAGAACAATTTCTGAATGGATAAGTATTTCATTTATAATAAAGTTTGAAATATTTATGAAGTTTTATGTTAAAAAATATATATTTTAAACATTTCTGTTCTGTCTGCATACACTGACTCTGCATTTGCTCAGACAAATGAGGAATAAAAACAGTTTTTTTTTTTTAACTAAACAAGTTTATAAATGTAGCTAATTTAAAAAAAAAATCTATAAATCAAGAGAAAAGTAGTGCAATATTAAAACAGAAGCAAAATCCTGTCAGGTTAGAAATATATTTCCTTTTCATTTATAATAATTCTGCTTTATACAGCTTCAAGAAGTGCAGTAACATTTTAAATAAGATAAAAAGGAAGTACGACAATTTATTTCCCTTCTAGAATAATTTAAGTTCAAAGAACGTGTCCTCCCTGAGCTCCTGGTTATGGCTTGAGCTGGACTATATTCAGATATTCATTTAGTTTTAGATATAATTTCTGATTCATTGGAGCTAAAAAAAATTAATAGATAATCTAAGTCCAGGCCAGAGGAGGCCACACCCCTTACCTGTATGCAGGTACTCCCACCTGGTCTCCACCAGGATGATCGATGCTCTGTCAGCCTCGGCGAGCTCGGCGACAAAGTGAGCCGGGACAAATGAAAAGATGAGTACAGCGAGAGAACCCGAGAAGCGGGAACACCCACTAGAAAGTACGTCGGCGGAGCAGCGCAGCGCCCCACAACCCCTCTGGTTGTTCCCTCAGCTGGGTGGATGACACACAAACATCTCTATCTGCTCAGGACACCTTGACTCAGGGATATCCCAGCCCTAATTTGCCTGCACCGCCCTCTCAGCGAGGACTAAGTCCAAGAACAGAAGCAGCCTGGGCCTGATCGTGTCAGAAGGCCCCACACGGGTCAAAAGGGGGGCAAAGGGCAGTATCAAGACCTGAGCATCTTTCTACGTCATCCTGTTTACACACTGGGGATTCCCTTTTAGAATTGATTAAAGATTGGGGGGGGGGGGGGTAGCCCCATGTCTGATGTGAAGACAACAAACTTGACTTTACAAAAACAACCTTCCAGCTCAGTTTTTTTGTTTTTGTTTCCAGAGTCGAGGCCGGAGCAGAAAGGCGAGGCCTCCTCTGCTGCTGCTTGGAGTTGAAGCTGGTTGCTGGTCCTGACTCATGATGCACGACCGACTGCTGAGGAGAGGAAAACACTCACACGTTTTAAAATTTATAGACGATGCAGAACTGAAGGCATCTCTGGTCTAATCGCATGTCTTACGGACATGACTTCCAGACGCTGTTCATCTGCTGAAGAGCCTGAAACTCCTCACTTTCTCCACTCGTCCACTTTTAAACGCACGGTGAGCAGAAAGCAGATGTAAGAAATGCACAGAAAATAAGTGAAAAAGCAGCAAAAGTCCAAAGAAAAACGACAATTCTACAAATCAAGACTGCTTCAAAACAGCGTGTCTCCCTGGAAGCAAAGCATACAGACATTAGAAGCGATTTAAACTTTTGCACAGTAAAAAAAAAAAAAAAATCATAATATAATATATAATATTTTGCTTCAGAGTGATTCAGTTGTTCTGCTGTTATGAGTGGTCCGTTGGTGCAGTTTTGAAATAAAACATGTAAATTATACGCCGCAAAGTGACGCTCCATCGGTGAAGAGTGAGCTGACTTTAAATAGTGGCACGGCACACAACATCAATAAAACTCGCAAAAAATAGTGACAAAAAAAAAAAAAAGATTTTGGTGACAAATATGAGAAAACTCAGCTGTGTTTGTACTTTTACAGCTCAGGCATACCTCACAGTAGAAGCATTAAGTCAGGTCACAGAAAGTCAGACTTTTACCTACCTCTTCTTCTTTCGGTTGACAATCCAATTACATGGCAACATGGCTTGCCATACATTCACCAGCCACACGCGGCCAATTCACTCCGCGCTGACCGGCCTTGAAAGAGGTAAAAAGTTCAGTTACGCTTCAGATGGTCTACTGCCAGCGATCCATCAGCCCAAATGGACGCTCATTCAGCCGCTGCACTCAGCGGACGCGTGCAGTCGATGACCCAACCGGGTGAGATCACAAAACATGCGACATGTCTAAGCAGGGTCCGTGTCTGAATAATGCAGAATGCAGGCAGAAGCGGGGATTCAATGCGCTTTGACAGAACAAAGAACAAACACTCCCTCAGCTCAGATCTTCTGCCCACTTAGTCATGCGCGTCCGCTGACCGTTAATAACTTTATAAGCAGTCAAAGCTTAACTAAAAATGTCTGTTTTTTTTTTTTCCGGGTTTGGACCTGTAATTACTGTTAATTTGTCGGATTGGATGGAGTTCAGAAATTATGGCTGCAGGCTGGGGCCGGGTTGGGTCGGATTTTTTGGACCCGATTGCAACTCTTAACAGGTAGTTCTGACTCTGCAACTGTTTGTTTGAGGGAGCGACAGATGCGGTTGTGTGGTTGCCATGGTGACCACAAAGAGCCAAATGGCAGTAGCTATAACGTTTTTTTTTTTACAACTTTAAACGAGCTGAAATCCTCTCCAAGGAGCCAAATGAGCCGATTGTGAAGCTGTGGAGCGATTAAAGCTAACTGTGGCTATCAAGAGGAAATACACCTTTATTTGTGTTTCTTGTTGCACTCTTTCCCTTAAGCGTACGACTATTTACTACCTGGCTCATCACTCGACAGTCGCAGCCGTTTACATTTCAGAAAATCTGAGCAATCTGGAATCAAGCAGATCTAATATTTTATTAGCCCCTTTTATTCATTTTATATACAAACGATTGTCGCAGCCAGTCACATCTCTAAGTTCCTGATGACTCTGTCGTCCTGTCCCTTCTCTGCAGTGATGACCCAGACCCCGGGCCTGTGGTCGGGGACTTCACTGAATGCTGCGAGTCTTCCTTTTTAAACTTAAATGTTTATAGACCAAGGAGATGGTCATTGGTTTTAGAAAAGACTCTTCAGTTGCCGCTCCCGAGGTCATTAACGGTGAAGCTGTCGAGATGGTGCATCAATATAAATGTCTGGGAACTGTTCTCCATGACAAACTGACCTTTGACCCTCATGTGAACTCACTTTGTAAGAAGGCCCACCATAGGATGTATTTTTATTCATCCATCCATTTTCTTTACCCGCTTGTTCCATTTTGGGTCACGGGGGTCGCTGGTGCCCATGTCCAGCAATCACTGTGCGAGGGGCGGGGTACACCCTGGACGGGTCGCAAGTCCATCACAGGGACACATAGAGACAAACGAGACAAACAACCATTCACTCTCTCACTCACACCTAGGGTCAATTTAGAGTTACCAATCAGCCTAACATGCATGTTTTTGGTCTGTGGGAGGAAACTGGAGCACCCGGAGAAAACCCGTATTTTTATTCAGTTCAATTCAATTCAAAAATATTTTATTAATCCCAGAGGGAAATTATTTGTTGTTGTAACTTGTTATCCTCATTTCATTAAGAGATGTTATAGATACTGATGGCTGTATCATTATTATATATGCTATATATTATATTATAGTATATTATGCTGTATCATTATTGTATTATCAGAAGCTCTGTGGTTTTAATGTTGATTCTAATTTTACGAGAACGTTTTATTCATGTTTTATTGAATCTCTTTCAACTTTCACCTTCATCTGTTGGTTTGGACTTTTGACAGGCAAACACAGGAACAAGCTCTGGGGGATTGTCAGGATGTGCAGCAAAACTGCTGGCATAGCTCTGCAGAACCTCACTGACCTACACAAGGCGAGGTCGGCGAACAAGGCCGGGCTGATTCTGGCAGATCCTGTTCACCACTCCATGGTGAGTTCAGGTTGCTTCCATCTGGACGCAGGTATCTGCTGCCCAGGTGTAGGACGAACAGACTGAATACCGTATTTTTCGGACTATAAGGCACACTTAAAATCCTTTAATTTTCTCTAAAATCGACAGTGAGGCTTACGTATTAATTCTGGTTGTGCTTACTGGCCTCAAATCGATTTTATGTGGTTATAGTGAATGAGTTGAATGAAGTTTGACTTATGTTTTGTTTCTCTTGATGCACCTTATAGTCTGAAAAATACGGTAACTCATTCATCCCTGTAGCGATCAGGCTTCTCAACGAACAGTGATGGTTTATATACTGTTGTTTTAATGTCTTAATGTCTAGTATGGATGTGTTGTGTGCCTGCTGACTGTGAAACAAATCGCCCCTCGGGGATAATAAAGATTTTTGAGCATGAACTTAGTTTTTGGTCTCACTGTCCTGCTGCTTTAGTCTTCACTGGAGCTGCGACCCACAGGAAGGAGCTCCTCTGTTTTCAGGACAGAGTCAACTCACCTTGTTAAATTCCAAGAATTCCTCGAGGAATGCACGCCACCCTCCACCTTTCATGCCAGTTTTAAACCGAGGTCATTAAAAAAAACGAGCGGATTGCTCAAAGCTTGCAAGATGAGTTGAGTCACTCTCAGCTGCTCGTTATCTTTAGGTGCAAGTCGTTTTTTTGTGCATCTAAAAAAGGCGTACATGAGTAATAATGTTGAGAAACGGAGTGGAGGCGGCGGGGGCCCAGCTGAAGTCAGGTTATCGCTCATCATGGCGGCTATCTGCTGCGTCCATGTGGCTCAGCTTACAATATACAGACACTCCCATTCCTCTTTTCTCTTTTCATATACACCAGCCTTTAAATATTGTTTAGGATGTTCAAGAATCACCAGTGGGAGACTTGAGTTTTAATAGCGAGAATTAAAACTGTACGCCAAGTTTTAAAGTAAATAGTGATTTGTGTTGCATACGAAGCTTTTCGTGTGAACATCAAGTGACCGAGGTGTTAAATGTGAAGCTTCACTGTAGGAAATTCAATTAATACATTTGTATTGATTATAAATTAAATTCACCTCATTCCCAGACACCTTTGTGCAGAAATTGAAGCATAAAGGCGCTTTTTATTAATAATTTTTAACGAGGCATCACAGCTGAGCTCTATCAGGGTTGGCACAAACAGGCTGGAGGGAGTTATCACCGAAGGCCAGAACTAAAGACCCACCTAGACCCGGCACAACACAGACCAGTAAACACGGCCCAGCTTGTTTGCTGCAAATCAAAATTATTATGCTCATTTATTTAAACTTAAACATAAGAAGTGAGATTTAAAATCAAAATGAAGACAGCATTGTACATTCTGGGATATTTATTTTTTTCTTCTCGCACGTTTCACCACACCGACTTTTTAAATTTAGTTTTAAGAAACACCCAGTACGGTAATTTGTTGCTATGCAGGATTATTTCTCTGGACGTGTTTTAATCCGCAGCTCTCGTTGGGTTTCAGTCAAACTTTAGCATGACTGCACATTTTAAAGCCTAAAGACAAAATCTATATATTTTTTACATGATTTGAAACAAAAACCTGAAAAGATTCAAACATTTTGAATTTTTATTTTGCCCGTTAAGATTGCTTAATTGTTTTTGCTACTACCACGCCCAACTTTAGCTGAGTTACAGCCTTCTTTGTGTTGGCTAATGTTAATAAGCTGTGGCAGCCATTTTGAATTTGACTACCAAAATTATGTTGATGCACATCCAATGATTCATTTCTAATTTCTTTAAATTTAGTCCAGTTGTTCATGAGAAAGATTGCTGACTGACAGATGGCAGGAGATAACAGCCAATCCAAAACGTAGCTTTGTTCCATCTATAAACTTTTATTCATGTAGGACACAAAACAGAAAGAAACGTTTGTTGCCTGCGTTTGAACTTTATTCATTGCACAAGAATGAACCCCGAGTGACAAGTTACAGTTCAGTGATTTATGGAAACACTCCATTTGACAGTTTTACAAACAGCACACTAAATTTGACATTAAACTCCAATTTGACTCCAACATCTCAAGGTCTGTTGAGTTTGGCGCTCTCTAGTGCCATTACAAGAATCGCTCATCGTTATTTCCCGAGTGTGATTAAAGCTGTCCAGATGTGGGCTGTTCAACCATAAATTTAATAATAAAAGAGCAGACTAGATGCTTCCTGTTCAAAATAATTTCTGCCAGTGGAGAAAACTCTTAAACTGAACTCCATACAGCTGTTGTGGAGGCGTTTTATCGAAATGACCGTTTTGCAGGAACACGTTCAATTGTTGGCATTAACGGGTGTGTTTATTTTGTGAATAAACACACCAAGTGTAAAAACTGAATGTCGTTTCTGCCGTAGTGTTAAGTTTGTGTGTAAACAAGTGATTACGATACAAAATCTGCAGTTTGGACTTTAAGGTGGGCCATTCACGATGAGATAACTCGATAAACATTTATCAGCTCTCAAAGGAATGCTTATGGTGTTAGTTATTTACGTCTTCGTTTCAATAAGGCTCATGAACTACTGGAAATTGCCAGGCAACGAGATGGCGTCAAAATATGAACAAGTTCTCTCAAACCTTTCTGCGACACACTCTCCCCGTCTCTGTTCCTATTTAAAAAGAACTCCAGGAATAGATTATTCAAACCATAACCTTTAGGATTTTAGGCTACAGTAATCATTGACAGCCTGAAGGACCTGATTGGAGCAGAGAGAGGAGCCAGATGTCACCAGATGTTGGCGACTTGCACAGAACCCAGCTAGTGGTCTGTGCTTCGTTCTCGTCGATTACAGCGGAGTCTTTTCCAAACCGTGCCCGTCGTTGGCGTCCTCGATTTGGTCCAGAATCTGTAGCAGGGAAGGCACCGCATTAAACACAGTATTTGCCTTTGAAATCGTTAATAATTTGTGTCCATTACCTCGCTCACATCTGGGAATCGACCGGATTTAAGCTTGGAGAAGACGAGCTGCCCGTTGACTTCAACCTCAAAGGCATCTGTAATTTAAGAAAACAAAGAAAATTAGAAATAAATAAATAAACACCTTGTGGGAAGTTAGTCTTTAGTGGTTGGTTAAATTTAACTCAGTATGTAAAGTGTTACAGTCACCGTCAGGTTCAAATGCATGCACTTACTCCGTCTCCCTATGAAGCTCGACACATCCGCATCGGGAAACTTTGCCTGAATGGCCCGCAAAAGCACCCGAAAGCGGCTCGTGTACCCTCATCCACCGCTAGGTGGGGATAAAAACAGACCAACAAACACAAGGACTTAAAAAAAAACCAACTTTCAACAACCAACGACGTATCGTTTGAGTTACAGCACATTAGCTTAGCTGTGAGTGCTAACGGTAGCCATTTAAATATACCTTCAAAACGTGATTCAGAGAATACAAAATATTAAGTATAGGCAAATAAACATACAAAAAGATAATGATGTGCACAATAAATTATAATTACCAGTACTCGACTCTAACTACGACCCCCATTTTTCCTGTTTTTATGTTTGTTTTGCTTCGTCGTCGCAGCGACTCTTCAACTTTTTCTCAACAGCCTAATAACGCCGAACAGAGACGGGGCGGGGCTTATAAACTCAAACGTCATTACGTAATGCGTAACGTCAACACTGAAACCTGAAAGACGACGTGAGGAGAAACTGCCAGTCATACCGAATCGGAGAAATTCCAAGATGATTTAAAGCCATAGCGCTCCCTAAAAACGTTATCGCGGGATGTCACGGTCAGATTACATGTTGTGAATGACTCTCAGCTACGACCACATCATTGTTATCTGCATATCTAAAACTGACTCAGTTAAAGCTAACATTTTTGTGCTTTAAGTTTGTGGTAGACAGTCTTGAATTTGAGTGACTCTAAAATTTAATCAGTTACAGAGTTACACCCAACCAGTGGTTTGGGAGATATTTTGCTTACAGGCAAACAGGGTTAACCAACGGTTAGCGCAAAGTTTTCAGCAATAATGCTATGAAAAGCACTTGGAAAATGTGTTGTGAATGCCACTCAGCGACGACTACACCAAATTAAACCCCAATATCTGTAAAATTGACTTGAGTTATAACTATTTTCATCTATTACAAGTTGGCTTTGGTGGCTGTCAAAAGATAACCAGAACATTTGGATCCAGTGATATATTTCTTGAAAGTTTCAGTAATATACATCCAGTTGTTCATTGAGTTGACTCCAGATGGTTTTAGGCAAAAGTCTTGTGCAACCTGTTGCACCTTCTAATATGTATTGGGAATCAGCCTCAGCTACTACCACACTCAAATTTAGGTTAATATCTGTGTAACTGACTGAGTTATAGTAGCTAATTTTGAATCAAGTTGACACCAAAAGGTAATCAGAAGTAGATGCACAGCCAGTGATAACTTTCTGCCAGTTTCAGTAAAATGAATTGAGACGTAGATGACATATTTTAAAATATACACATTTGCCTTTGGGCAGTGGTAAATTTAGTAAAAATGAAGGTAAAAAACAACTGATATCTTCTGTCACAATTCAAGCCTAAATACAAAATATGTCTTTCAGGACTGCATCTTTTATTACAAACACAAGTCACCAAACTGTGAAGAACTCCGTAAATACTCTGATTTGGTGAATTATGTTATGGGTTGTGCATACAATGTCAACGATACCCACGTTTTGTAATCAAATTACAACCTTTGCTTGAAACAGGAAGTGCCTGCACCGTCCCACAGCCACCTCCCCTGAGCTAACACAGTGTCACCATTGATGTATTTGCTAAACTTCTCAGGAACTGCAGAATGAAAACAGCCCGTTTGGCACGTAAGGCCGCTGCATCGCCTTAATCCACAGCGGAGAGTTGACATCCTATCAAGAATATTAATTTAAAAAATAACAATAATCTGAAGGAATGTCTCTTTAAAAAGTTCAACATGTGCAGGTGGTTTTCTGAGGAATAAAGCAGTTTTAAATTAATAACTGTCTTTCTGAAAGGTCAGTTGTTAAACAGGTTTGTCACATTTGACATAAAAGGGTTTTATACAGAAAAGCAAAATGAACACATTCATGCCAGGGGTTACAATTTATTAATTTAAAAAGTAAGTAATCAGCACATCATCATGAGGGTTACTTTTTATTCAGGGATGCTTATACAAGCTCTGCACAGGAAATACATTTCCAAAAGTAAGATGTAACTTTCTGGGTACAACAGCGCGTCACTGTTTTCCCCACATCAGTGACTAACTACAGGAAGAGGACAGAATCCATTTTCTCAAACTCGTTTTGCAGGATCATGGCTAATCGTCGTTAGTCATCAGAGTCAGGGAGTTTACAGAAGGCGAGACACGCAGAAGAGGAAATGAAAGATGTAAAAACTGAATGTTTAGCTTAAAATTAAAGTGACAACTGCTGCGTTTAACACACTCGATTCAAAATCTGCAGCTTGGAGAACGAAGTAATCAAGTTGAGTGGGGAAAAAAAAAGCAGCTGATGAGATAAAACCACTTCTTATATTTAAATTATATATTAAAAGACACGTAAAGTTCTTGGCAGAGCTGATGCTGAACACAAAACACGACAATGAAGACAAATCCGAGGACGCCTATCTGCGACAAACTGTGCAGGTCTCTGTTCCTATACGAGCCGAACTCCAGGAATGGATCCATCATACCATAACCTTTAAGACTTTCAGCTACAGTACTCATTAACAGCCTGGAGGGTCGAATGGGAGCAGAGAGAGGAGCTGACTTTCTGCAGAACCTGCACAGGAAGCAGCTCAAAGTGCTTCATCCCGGCTGGATCTCAGATGAAACCGTGCTCCCGTCGCAGCAGCAGGACAGAGGGGGGCTACAAGATGGTACAATTTTCTTGGCATCTGAGGATCCTCTCCAAAGGTTTCCCATCGTAGGCGTTCTTGACCTGGTTTAAAACCTGAAGCAGAAAAAGCCCCACATAAATCACAACGTTTGCCTTTAAATTTCCTAAAAAAAAATCTTAATCACTCACATCTTCGTCACATGGGAAGCCATGACGGTCAAGCTTGGAGAAGACAAGCTGTCCGTTAATTTTGACTTCGAAGGCACCTAGAATTGAAGAAATCAAGAAGAAAAATGAGCGAATAAATCTTTGTAGGGAATGTGAATTAAAATTATGGCATCAAAGAGCAAACATTACTTCCAACAGCTTACCTGGTCTTCCCACAATACCTTTCACTCCCGTACCAGGAAACTTCTTGCTGATTAAAACGGCAAGCTCCTGATAGCGGGAAAAGTATCCTCACCCATTGCTACATTAAAAAAGGTAAATCAGAAAGAGCTATGATAAATGACATATCATATGAGATGCAGCACGGCTCTGCTGTGAGCTTTTAAAATGAAACTCAGGTGAAATATAGAAGATAAATGTTACAAAAATAAAACGAGTCAAATGAAATATAATTACCAGTATTCGATTCTGACTGTGACACCCATTCCTGCTGTTTCTGAGATGATGAGCGACTTCTACACAAACCTGTTTGGGTGTCTGTTATCCACTCTTTATACACAGGTGAGGACAGAGGGGCGGGGCTTACTCACCTGGAACCGGAGCAGAGACAGAAACTGTCCAACGAAAAGGAATTTGGGAAAAAGGCAAAGGAAATGTAAAACTAACAACAGATAAAAACTGAAAAAGAAAACGTGATACGTTAAACACAAAACAATTAGACGTTTTTGTGACCGTACCGTTTTCTTATTTTTCAGCTTTCACACACAAGTCAACAACCAAGCCCAATCTTACTTTAAATATATAATTGCTTCACTTTATTCTCAGATTGCAGGTTTACTTGGGGTTCCTTGAGTTTCTAAAACTATAATGGGAGGCAGATCTTTCAGTTATCAGGCTCCTCTCTTGTGGAACAAACTTCCAGTTTCTGTCCGTGAGGCTGACACCTTGTCTACTTTTAAGATTAGGCTTAAGATATTCCTTTTTGATAAATCCTATATGGTTGGCTCAGGTTTCTGGGTGTATCCCTTAGTTATGCTGCTGTCAGTCAGTCAACTTTATTTATAACCGTAGGGAGATTTGATTAGTGAAACGAGTCAGCAAGACATACACACAACATTAAAAGTGACCAGGTGCTTTAAGATAAATAAAAGTCCCCCATCTTAAGAACAATATCAGCGTCAGAATAACAAGATAAAATAAAAAAATTATAAAAACGATAAGACAAGATAAAATCAGTTAAGGCCAGATAAAAGCGGATAAGACAAAAGACGAAAGGAAAAAGCACATTATAACAACATCAAATGAGATTAAACAAGATTTAAAAAATTAACTATTATATGCTCAATTGAATTTAAGAAACGGGTGGCAACAGGAACAAATATGGCTTTAAGTTTATGTTTAGGCACTAAGGATCTGCGTCCTGATGGGAGGTGCCTGAACTGGCAGTGCAGAGGATGAGACCCGTCTTTTAAAATGGATCCAGAGATCCTCAGTAAGTGCCTGGAGTACATTCTGGGTTTATTTGCGTTTCTCCTGTTGGCTTACTGGACCACTTCACTATTTGGTTCGTGTCACTCAGTTCTTGTTTCTGAAAGAAAGATTGCCAAAACATGACACTAAGCAGAAAGATAAAACTGATTCAGTAAAAGCACGATAAAACAGAGTCAATAAAGTTTTGTCGTTGTCGGACAGTTTTCTGAGGCTAAACAGGTGGCTGGTTCAGTTTTGTAGGAGTTGTGGTTTTGTCCCTGGTGTCGTGTTTACGTCTTGCATCCCTTATCTCTTTCTTTGGCATCTGTGATTACTCACAGATGCCTTTACTTGATCATAGGCTGCTGGAGGAAAAACTGACCACATCTCCTCACTCCGCTGGTGTCTTTACTCGCTCTACCGTTCATTTTTGTATTCGTGGTTATTTCTATTTTTAACATGCTTTTTTTGGTCTCATAGAAAGTGCACTTGGATCAGCAATTCTGTGTTTGTGTCTCTTTCCTTTCCTCTCTAATTCCAGTGAAAGCAGATGACGGCCCATCCTGAGGCTTTTGCTGGTTCTGCTGGAGGTTTCTTCCTGTTAAAAGGGAGTCATTCCTTTCCACTGTCACCTGTGTGTTGCTCAGGATGAAGAGAAAATTTGATGCAATCTGCTTAGACAACTTTTACTAATTGTCATTTTATAATATTTGTGAATATTGTTGTATATTGTATTGTCTCCAGAGGTGTTGTCTGTTGTGAATTTTCGCTACATACATTCCCAAAGTCAGCATCTCATTTCCCATTTGAGAAAAGTAATAGACAAGAATATATTCAATAAATACGCACCTGTTCCGGTCCTGCAGGAGACAAATTATTTTTTAGGTTTTAACTCTAAGCTATGCAGGATGCTGTTAACCACATTCATTATTCATTATTTAAATTATACAATTAAATGAAGTATTCAAATGATCATTTTGCTCCAAACAGGAAGTGTTTTCCACCCATTTGTGTCAGTTTCCATCCAGTTGGTCGACATTCCCAAAAGCTAACCTCTGATCTCCCAGGCTTCTTGCAGAATAAAAGCAACTTGTTTTGACTGATGCAGAGCTCTGTAGGACTGGACGTCTTGTCCATCGCTGCAGAGGAGAGCTGAGGTCATTTTGTTGAACACCAAGTCAAGCAGGGTGTGTCCAGGAGTCTAAACGTGGTGAGCTGGATTACATTCTCAGGAAGTTGGTCGAGAAATACACAAAAACAAACAGGTTGGGTGAGATGTTCTGTAAGCTGTTGAGGAGCCTCGATCGTCCTCATACCAGGCTACATTCCAGCTGCAGATAAATACTGAGTGTTTAGCTTCACTCTTTGTTGTGAGTTCTCAACAGGCTCGTGTGTGTTTGGTTTGTCAACACAGACTCATTTACCTGCTATCAAGGTGAGCCTAACTGTGCTGAGCGTGCTCCAGTACATCCTGCATCTTCAGTGTATCCATACAACCATGATCACCTGGCGGTAAAGACAAAGGCCATCATGTTTTTGCCCGTTTCCATGGGTGAGCAAGTGTGTATTTGTTTGCACTGTTAGTAAAACATTCTCAGAACCACTGGATGGACCTGTACGTAACGCTACGAACTGATGATTGGATGAACATGTACAACCTTAGGAGTCAATTCCATTCAAGATGGCCACCATAGCTGAGCAACCTTTACCAACACAAAAATGGTTCCAATTCAGCCAGTTTTACTGACGATGAGCTCCAGTATGATGTGGTAGTAGTCGAGACTCTTCCTGGAAACAAAACCTGAGTGCTAACTGGTCTGTTTCTAACACTATTATTGTTAAGATGGCCGCCAGAGCCACCTCACTCACAAAACACAAACTGCTGTAGTGTGGCCATTTTCACATATTCAGGTAAGATTTGGCAGTGGGATTAACGCGTCTAAATAAAGGTTGGATGAATGAAAGTGTGGTGGTAGATGAGAGTCATACTCAACATGCAATCAGAGCACTACATTTTGTACTCTTAAAAACGTTGGCTTTAACTGTTAATGACTGCTAGCAAAAGATATGAACTAGTGGACAGCTTTGAATTAAAAATGACTCTGAACTTGAGATATTTTGTTGAAAGTCTCATTTCAGCAGCTGAACATCATCTTCATATGATATCATGCAGGATGTGGCTGTGCCTTGTGTTGAACCAACCTGTAATGTGATTATCTTCTGTATAAATAAAGGAGTTGGTGTTCACATGAGAAAGGGGGCACCCAGATTTGAACTGGGGACCTGTTGATCTGCAGTCAAATGCTCTACCACTGAGCTATACCCCCATTGTGACAACATGTGGACAAATGTTTTATTGTTGGTCATTTTCATCTAAAGCAAATTGTTTTCCAGTAAAAAAAGAGTTGAGTTTGATCAATTAGTTGTTCCCTTCAACAATAAATGTATCTAAATT